ATATATACTAGCTGTCCCGCCCGTCGTTGTCCGTGCCAATTTTTTATTTGTTTTACCCGTATTACATTTTGGTATTGACCATGTCGGTATTAAATGAAAACAAATAGGTGGAAAGCGCGTAGTCTACCTTCGCGGACTAAAAGTATTCTGTATTGTGACATTTTTTCATGATCGTCATGCCAAAAATATCTAAACAGCGAATTTTTTTTGGTGGTAGGAGAGGGGAGAGGAAATTGCAAAGGAAATGAAGCCTTACCTAATCTAACGGTGAGTAGGGACGCTCGGCAGTGGGAGAGCGCGTGTACTGTATGCCTGTATTATAGTCGTCACTTGCAGATGGTACGGCGTGGCGTTCCTTTTATACCTTTATTTACCAACATTTTATATTATTACAAAATTAATAAATCGATCGTCATAATTAGAGTCTGGATTTATATGTACTTAAAATCCACAAAACAGCACTTGAAAAAAATCACTTATAAAATGTATAAAAACGCAAAAATAATAAATAGGGGTTTAATAGTGCCTCCCTCTAACGGATTTAATTTATAAATACAATTTTCTCACACCAAAAAAATTATTAATAAAATTATTTTTTTTATTTTTTATAACACGTACAATTTTATTTAAAAGAAATTATTTTGTGTGAATCAATTTTGTAATGTTAGGAAATTTAATTTAATAAGTTAGTGCAATTAATGGGGGGACTTTTAATCTCCTCTTTAATTTTTGCTTTTTTAAATATAGGTAAATTCTTTATTCAAAGATTTTAGGTCTCTAGTCATAATCTATATGTATTATGTTTACAAATAAATCGAAATTTTATCGGTAACGTACTGACGCTATAACTTGAATACTATCCAAATGTCAAATATTCATATACAATATATATACATTCATAAAGACAAATATTTGTAACTAAATTTAAACGAAAATATTAAAATGTTTATGAAAAGCTTAAAAATGGCGAAAATGTTTCGAAAATTTTACCATGTCTAGAACAGGCAAATATAAGTTTTCTATCTAAATTTCAGGTCTACAAATATTTTTAACTGAATTACATCAAATAATAAAATTGAAAAATAATGAAAGCATTTTCGTAAATTTCCAATTGATTTTACGTTTTATCCTGGTTTTTCCCAGATATTAGGAAAACAGCTTGGAAAATCAAAAAAAAGAAAGTACTTGTCAAAAGTACCATCTGTACAACATTTCCTTTCAGAAATGGTGCCACGCGTATATATCCGAGCAAGATTTCTGGTAAGATTTTTGTACAGAGTAAAAAAAAAAAAAAGAAAAAAATATCTTAGTAAAACCAATACATTTTTCGCTATACTTAGAGCCTGAAATTAGTTCTAAGAGACACCATACGAATTTATATAATTTGTGAGTGGTCCCTCCAATGAAAACAAAGGATTCCGTTCAAAGTAGGTGTATATGAGGTCGCAAATTAATGGTACCGGTTTCGAAACGATCGGACAAATTGGTTGGGGAGGAGGGTGGCTACGTGAATTTGGCCCCGCCAATGAAAACAGTTGATTCTGGCGGAAGTCTGAAGTAGCAATTTTTTCCGAACGGTTTCATAATGTCGCAAAACAGTTAAAAAAATTCGGATAAAGTGGAGGGGGGAGGGGAAACTTCACGGACGTTAAGTCCTTTTCTTTAACTAATATTTCCTTTTACGTACTCGATAACGAAATATTAAAAATTATTTGACGCCATAAATCGTTTATAAATACCAAAATGCTATTTCAATAGCATTTAATCAATAATATAAAATACTAGGTATGATATAGATTACTATATTCAACGGTGTACATTGGTACGTATTTTGTTGTGCGCAAAGTATCAAGACAATAATCGAACCGCATACTGGTCACAACGACACCGGTAGGTATTCCATTCCGAATATTAAAAAAAAATTGCCCATTTCTCATTCGTAAATTAGCCGTGTATTTTATAATGTAATCAATATGCGTAGATTATTTTTTTTTTTTTTATTTTTGCCCATATTGTACCACATTATGTACCTACATGTCTACTCATTTGACATGGATCATATAGGCACCTATATCAATATTATAAATCTCGTTCGCGCATATTGTATAATGTTTTATTATTTTGTATTTGTAAATTGTACCAGTAGTGCACGCAGGATTTTGTTTCGGGAGGGGTTTTTATTTATAATAATTCCCTAGAGGGGGAATAGTACATATTATCAGCGCAGTACTATCACTATTATTATTATTACCGAATAAAGGATTTTTAATCAAATTTTATTTTATTTTATTCTGTGGTACAATATAGTAGATGTTGTTGAATGTAAAACTTGATTTAAACAAATGCAGCGAATGAAGAAATTTCGGGAGGGGTTATGACCCCCTAACCCCTTCTGTGCGCGCCATAGCATTGTACACATTGTTATTGATCATATACTAATTTCAATATTATCAACGTGTGATAGACACTTTTATAAATACAGCACCTACCTATTTTTATAGTATTATTATAATTTGTACCAATCTGTATGTTAGGTATACTTTTACCATTGTACATAATTTTTAGTACAGCTATAGTAGCTACAACCGTGATGTTTAGTTAATATGCCTAATCAATGTTATGTAATAATAATATAATGATTTTTCACAAGTATTTTTTATATAAAGATCATATCATCATTGTAACAAACATTAAAAATTGTAAAACTTAGATCAGCTGTAGAACTGTATCAAAGTATTGTAAAAACTATAATCGAACCATTGATAACTAACAGTTTCTATAATCATCCATACAGCTCATGGGCGCTAAGAGATAGGGGGGCAAGGTAGGCCATCTGCCTGCCCCCTCTTGGACTTTAAAATTTCATATATCATTTTAATAATTATTTATTACAATTTTATTTTAAGTACTTTTTGGTATTTGATTTTATTATGCCCCTTCCTGATAAATTTATTATTTCAAGTACCTATAGGCTAATGGACTTAATTTAAAAACTAGAAAAAAGTTTAGTTATTTTTTTGTTGAAATAATATAATGGGTAAGTATAATATAATGTCTACAATAAATCACAAAAGAAAAACAAATCAAATTAGGTAACTGAAATGTATTATTCACTAAGAAGTAACAACATTTATTAAGATTAAAATAATTTATTTTGGCTTTTGTTATATCTACAATAAACACAAAATAGTTTTTAATTTGTATATAGGTTTATGGGTATTATGTATCAGCGTATCACTTTTCATACTTTCACGCAATTATTTGAGTGAAACAAATTTCAAAAATTACTGTTATTGTTATGTAATATAGTATAACATATTATTATTATAACATATCATTTTTTTGAAATAATCAATTATTATATTCAACATTTTAAAAAAATTGTTATTCTGTTTTGCCTTGGGCTTCTTTTTGGAGATTTGGTAGAATGGGTATAAACACTAAAATGATATACTATTTAGTTTTTGGTTATCTATATAGCAGTGGTGTATATAGCAGTGGTGTTTCAAGATTTTTTCAAAGTGGGTGTCATAATAAACATGAATTGGCCACCATTTTTTTTCTGTTCATTACCAAAAAATCTCCTCCCACTATTTTATAATAGTATTTTTTTTTATTATGATATCAAAAAAAAAAAACATTTAATATACATCAAAATTAAATTTGTTACAAAATTGATTAACTTACCTCCTGTAAGCTTATGCAGCTTGTGTTGGAGATAAGGAGCTATGATTACCACTAAATCCATATATATAATAAATAAGAACATTGTGTAAATATATTTCAATTTAAAAAAAATGTTTAAATTCATCTTGAAACAACTCTAGAAATATATAAACTAGCTTATTTTCTAAATAACAATGTTAAAGGTAAATTAATAAATACAAAGAAATTAAAAATATGTGCTACAGGTATAGGTACAATAAATAAAAAATAATTAAATAAAATTGGGTTATATTACTGGTAAATCCTTGTCTAATTCAAAGAATAAATATTTGTATGTTAAATCTTTAATATTTACAATTTCACTACCAAGTATTTTTTTTTAAAAGTCATAGGGCATAGAGTTGAAAGAAGTTGGACCTTGATAGTCCACAAAATGCTGACTGAATGTACTCGCATATTTAACAGTCAAATTATTTAACTATTTTTTTTATTTCCCTTTTATTGCTTACCTCCTTTTGATCATTATTTAAATTAAATTTCTTAACCAAATACATAATTGCAATTTTTTATATAAAAACCTTATAGGCAATACACCAAATTCTTTATAGTTAATGTTCATAGATCCTTGCAGAGTGAATTTATTTAGACAAATCCTAACTATATTATTTTAATTAACTACTAATGCATTTAAGATGTTATCTTGAAGACCTCCCCATACTAATATGCCATATTGAAAGTTTGATTGATAAAGTGAAAAGTAAACTATTTTCATTGTTTTGGTACCAAGTTTTTGAGTTTAACCATTTTAAAAGTAATGAAACGTAGCTTCCCTAAAAAATTGTTTACATGAAAATTCCATCTTAAGTTAATATCAAATATTTTTTCAACTATTAATTATTATGAAGTTTTGTGGATTACAAGTTTTATTCTTTATGCAGTCATGAATTGCTAAGGTGTTGTAGTTAAAAGATGTTTTATTAATAGAGAACGACATAAAAACAATTTTATCAACATTTAAAGATAGATTTTTAACATTCAAACTTTTTATTATCAGACTGAAATCTCTGCAGGGTTTCTCATATACACCATCCCTTGATTTATGAGAGAATAGAAGACAAGTGTCGTCAGCATAGGTAACTATTTAGTATAATCAATAAAAATAAAATAAAACATATATATATATATATATATATATATTTATATACATATTTGATACAATAATAAAATAAAATTTATAGTTATAAAATAATGTTATTAAAACAGTTTTGTTTTGTTAATGTTTTAATTACTTTTTCAACTTCAACATCAACACTGCACAATAAATATTCAAAACTGCTAATCTATTAAATTGGTTAACGGAATTTCGAAGATATGTCTGGATACTTTTTAATGTGGAAAAGCTTCTTTCTGATCTATACAATGTAAAAAGTAGTGTTGTAATAATTAGAAGCTATTTGAATACATTTGAAAAGAGATCTTAATTGCACTTATCAAGATCATTTAGAAGACCATGTACAAGAGGGGTGTCATATCACCTCCCCCTGGGTACACGCCACTGCTACCTAGTAAAATTTAAATACAAACTTTGAAGTTAGTGGTAGTTTTGAATTTCACCATTTAATTGCTACACCGTAAAAATATAGTTTGTCAGACACTGATTTTTTGGATGATCCATATTTGTATGACTATGGCCGCTCTTTCGGTTTTCACTTTTTTTTCACTAACTGTTTTAAACGAAATTCGGGTAGGTGATAGGAGAAAAAACAAAGGTTTTAAACAATTTTAAACGAAAATATTCCTGGATTTATTGTGCAAAACTAATATTTTCTTGAAAAAAAGAGTAAAAATTGTGTGGACTTTAGGGTTTGACTAACCGGTACAGCAAGTTTCTTACGCAGGACACTGATCATTGTGCCACGGAATTCATGAATTTGTCTGCTATTAGATAAAATTGGTGAATTTTATTAATTTAAAACATTTACATGATGACAGTACAACTAAATAGATCATTCAAAAAAAATGTCCTGCGATGAATGGTTTATTATGTATAGGTATAGCTGTTATCAAACGGACCAGGTTTCTGGTTATCCGTTGTTATAAACGTTAACTGTGGTTAACGGTAGTTGCGCTTGATTTTCGATAACGTGTGTATAGCTGTTGCATATCTATGGTTAAATCGCATTAATGAAATCGTCCTGCTATTGTTGTTTTCGTACGACGTCGGGACCGAATGTTTTCATATAAAATTATTATTATTATTATTATTGTTGTCTAGCCGTGTTTCGATATTAGAAATCAATAATTCTCATTTCTCGAAATCATCGATCGACGTCAGCGACCATTAGAGCGTTTTCGATCCACGTTCTATAGCGTCCTGGATTTCCAATCAATTTAATTACGTGCTAATTTCGCGATGCATTTTAATCATTATGGGTAAGAATAATTACGGTTTAAATTAATAGACCTATCATTTGTTGGTAACTAAATATTTATCTTTATGACTATTCTCGAATTTATTGTGCGATGATTTTCTTTGATTCTTTCTAGAATGCTCTACTAATAAAGTCGATACGATGGTGGCTAGTTTACAATCCAGACGTAAGGCATTAGAAGCCAAAATAACCGAAAAGAATCGTGAATTAAAACGATTATGCGTTCAAGAGGCAGAGTTAACGGGTAGTTTACCACCCGAGATCCCACTAGAACCTGGCGAAGTACCACCTTCATTTCGTCGACGTGTCGGAACATCATTTACTTATCCTGAAAATTTGATTAACAAATTGAAATTTAAAGAAGTAAGTATTTTTAAACTGTATATTATGTACCCTTTATTCTCAGGTTTTATAATATTAATTGATTGTGTAGGAAGAAACTTTGGCTTCATTAGAACTCGAGTATAAAATCCAAAAAGGTATTGCTGACGCAGCTTTAGGACTAGCCAATGATGAAACTGCTAATAAGTCTGTGAGACGTAAACATAGATTGATGTATCAGCAAAGTCAACAAAGACTAATAGAATTGGAAACCCGAATAAATCTTTGCAACAATCAAAAGTTCAAAAAGAAACATCGTCCTGAAACTAGTTACACGCCAGGTAATTATTATTTGATTTATTAACTTTAATTGTAGACTAAGTATTTAATCCTCAATTGTAATGATTTTATTTAATAGAATACCATAGTAACACTTACTATTTCTGTCTTTCCAATTGAAAATATATCAAATAATGTTTTTTGGAGTTCTAACAGTACTTTGGCTCTAATAGATTTCAAACAAAAATTGTTTCAACAAATTAAGGATAACGACATATACTATGTTTTCATGCAGTGCGATCTTTACTAATCTAGTTTACTGCTCAACATTTTTTTTTCAAAATTTAAGTCTTCAAATATGAACCTGGATACTGTCAAATATAATTAGTTTAGATACATTTCTTTAGGAAATAGGTGCCCAAAATTTGACCCACAGCTAGACCTACGAATAGTCAAAAGACTTAATATGCTTACTTTTGAGGAAATAATAATAATCCATTAAACAACATTATTTTGTATTAGTATATCTCCACATTATTTCCGTTTAGAAATTGGATAGAATGGTTAAATAAATTATGGTACCCCTCTTCTTTCTAAAAATTGTAAGATTATTCTTTGGAAAATTATTGTTAGATAAGGAATATCAGATTTTTTTAAGATCATCATATTTATGACTAAAATACACACTCTAAAAAAAAAAAAATTGATTTGGTTATAAAATTGACTTGTGCCTAAGGATTTTTTTGTATTTTAATTTTCACCTACAAATTATTTATTGGAAAATTGGGTGTCAAAATTTTTTTTTTTTTCTATTTATCTCTTACCCGAATACTTAAAAAGAAACCTTTTATTTAAAAAAAAAAAAACTGTATTAAGTGATATAAATTATACAGTTCCCTACATAAATTAGCTCAGTACAGAGGTTTAAGATTAAGAAAATTTATCATAAGTAATGTTTTTCGATAAAAGTGGTCATATTTTATTTTTAATTAATAACATTTTTGTTTATTATATTTAGATTTTGTTAACCAAAATATAGCTGATGGCGCTAGTATTGTTGTTACTACAGAATTGAGTATCCAAACTCTGGGTCAAAAAGTGTTAACACACAAAAGTAATTTGCGGCAATCCTATAATAAATTTCCAGGACAAAGAAATTCTCATGACCCCAGGTAAATTTAAACATGTATATTTAAAACAATACAAAATTAGAATGAATTTTTAATTTTATATGATTATAAACAATGTTGCACACCTTGCGATTTTGTATCTAGTCAAATTTAACACCAGATAATTTCATGCTATTTTCACATATTATATCAAATTTATAAAGTTTGTCAAATTTTATTTGAATCGTACAATCATTTTATTTTGTCATATTATCCTAGTTAGTTTAATACTCCTGTAACAAACAATAATAGATGATCTGCTGTATGGTATTGAAATTAAAATTATTTTTAATATGGAAGTATTAGATAATTTTAAAGCCAAAAATCAAAAAAGAGTCGGTTATTTTTGTATTTTCCAAGGTACACAAATTTATATATATATATATATATAAAAGAGATTCAATGGCAACATTGAATTTATTTAATTTACGAGGACTACAAAATAGTCAGTTCCAGGTGCACATTTATAACCTTACACAGTAGACAATTTATGAATGAATATAAATATATGCAACTCAAAAATATTGGATTTTTACTCTAGGCAACTACATTAAATATAGTATAAATCAATTGACATTAGTTTTTAATTATTTCAAGATTTATGTTACTCTATTTAATTAAAGTTATTTTGATAAGTTTTTATTTTTACAATTGTAACTGCTTTCAGTAGTAAAAATTCTAGACTAAACAAATAGGAAAGAAATTAAACATTTTAAATTTGAGAATTATTTTTAATACAATTTTTGAATATTATAAAACATTTATTTTCACATCATCACAATATTCCATATCATTTTTTTAAAATAAATTAAAATGTATTAAGGGTTTTTATAAAGCATTTCATATTTTTACAATTTTTTATTTTAGAATTTATATTTGTTTAAAATTTCATATACATTTTAGAATTGGAAATGGATTGCATATGTGTGGTTATACTGAACACGAACAAGCTGTTTCAAATTCAAACATACTGCCAGTTCTTTTACCAAGATCAACAATAAGTTTAGATAAAGACAATGGTGATATCTCAATTAATTTAGTTTTTTAAAATATGATATTTACATTCTAATATTTACATTTACAGTATCTTATCCTAAAGAAAATGGTTTATTGGTAAATAATAATTTCAATTCCACTATTTTACCACCCAGCCACGAGTTTTCTAACAAATTGATCGATCAAGATTTCACCTCAAAATATAGAGATAGGTATAAAATATATTACATTGTTTTTTTTAATATTTAAATTTATAATTTGTTAATTTATTAGTTCATTTATTTAACCATTTTCTATTTAAGGTTTGGAAGCTTGGATAGAAGACACACAAGTAGTTTAAGCTCTCGGAGCAACAGTAGTGTTGACCAGGAATCTCCAGTGTCTATAATACATTATGCTAATTCACAAAACTCTGCAACTTCAGTTTTATTACCAAATCAAATGTATCCAGAAAACAGTTTAATGCGAACCCACTCTCTTGGTAATATTAAGAATGAAAATCAGCAAAAATTAGAAAAAAGTGTTACAGATTTAGATCAGGTTTCATCAGTATCTGATAATAGAAAAAATAATGAGAAAAAATGGCTAGAAACATCTTTGGATTGTGCCAGTATTGATTCTGGACCAATTATATCTCAACCAGAAAATAAACATCCTCAACCATACGAGTCTCTAGTTAATCATTTTGATACTGTAATTATAATTATTGTATATATTTTAAATATATAATATGTACATTTTACAATACAAAAAATATATTTGTATATATTTAATAGGTTCCCTTTGAATCACCCAAGAATCATACAGTGGTCCAAGTTGGAAAATGGCAACCATATCGTGAAGTATCTAAACCATTTGAAATGTCTGATTTCTATAAGTACAGTACAAGATTTAGGAAACCTACAAATTCAAATAATCCATCCCCAGATGTAATTCAAAGTGCTGCAAGTAATTCACCGCCTCCTCTGATACCACAAAATAAAGGCATTTATCAACCTTTAAAACCACTTAATTGTAATCCAATGTGCCCACAGTAAGCTAATTAATATTTATATTAAAAATACAACTATATTATTAAAATAATTACTGTAGGAATATATTTTGTAGGAATATTTCAATAATGGAAGACACAGTGTATCCAGCTGAACAAAATGAAATATGTTTAGATGAGAGTACATTTCCTAATGAAATGTTATCTTGGTATCAAGATGATACTTCACCAACTCAAAATAGAACTGCCACTTTGGTATAATTTTAAATAGTTATATATTAACTAGAATCTATTGTATTTTATTTTTCTTTTTTTAAATTTATAATATCAGAACACTACAAGATTAATTTTTTTTGTAGTTTTAATGTAAACATTTTTACAAATATTTTTGTACTTTATAGAATATGTTTTACACTAACATTTTACCCTTCTCTAACCAATTAAAAATATAACAAAATTATACTATGCAGAATTTATGACACTTAAAATTTAAATGCCTTTGACTATGTTATTGGAAATCTTGTTTTTAGGGTTGTCTTTTTTGGTATGTTTGTTTTTGTAATCTGAGATAACAAAAGGACTGTGTGACCATACATAATATTTATAGTCTCATATTTAAATTGTATTATTGTCAAGTTGTATGAAAATTTTGTTATATTATATATTGCATAGGCAGGGACATTTTGTGAGTGTGACATCTAAATATACATTTATTAAAAATATTATTGTTACTCCCACACCAATTATAATTTATTTTTAATTTTTACTCGTAAATATTTGTACTATATAGATTAAAATGATTAATTCTTTTATATTTATGGGTAATTAAATATAAATGATAATAGTTTTATTTTAATATATTAGACATTTTTGATAGCTGTACAATTATTCATTTCATTACAATTTAACTGGGTAATTTTAAATTCTATTGATGAATGAGTTTTTTTTTTAACTGTTATTATTGCGCTTTCATATTATTATTCTAGTTTTTATCTATGGAATATTTTTATGGTTTATAAACAAATATAATTAATTAATAATTAACTTTTCTAATAGATATTAGAATAACTTATATAAAATATGAAGAATTTTGTATTTTTTTAAATTTAGATTATAATAGAAATAAAACACATTATTGACAAACAAAAATTATGTAATGCAATTATTTATAATAGAATAGGTATGTTTTTATTATTTACCCTTTACATATAGTTATGAGGTAAGACTGAAATCATTTTAAGTTTGGTACATCAAATTTAAATTTTTACAGTTTATGATTAAGTGGAAATATTATCTAGGTTTAATTAAAATTATTTTATATTTTTATATAGAACATAACAATATAATAATATAAAAATATGTGAATTATATTAACATATAACACATGTTTTTTATAAGTTAAAAAAATAATTACGGTTAAGGTCATTTATATGGATTTTAAATACATTTTAGTTAATTTGTAATTATTAATATTATATTCTTTTATTATAAAAACAAGAAAATTATAATTTAATTTTATAATTAAGTACATTTAACTTTTAATCAATGTTCTTTTAGTCTATAGTATTACCACACATCACAATTTTACATTTTAAAATTTAACTGAATAAAAGTGCATTAAAAAAAAATCAAAAAATGCAACTTTGGTTAATTTATTAATCTCTAATCTACAACCCATTTATATTATTACTGAATAATGTTAAAACATACCTATCCCAGTTAAACATGATTTATACTTTTTTGCAAAAGTAAAAAATATCAAACAAATTTCTTTGTTAACCATTTTAACCGGACCGGTAATTAGTTTTATCAATTTTGTTGTATGAGAAAAATAGTTTAAAACCATTAACATCTGTATTGCAATATTTTGAAAAAATAAAAAAAAAATTAGATACCCATTAATATGACATTTATTTTAAGAGCCATGGGTATTAAGTTTGTTCTTAGAATTTTGTTTTATCTAACATAGATAAAATAGGTAGGTATTCATTAATCATTACTGGTCATATTTTTTTCTAACAAGAAAATATTGTGAATGATTAAAGTAAAATTGCAGCAGAAATAAATGTCAATGATTGTTTGGAAAACTGGTTAATCAACAATTTTGTGATATATGTAAAATTGTTTTGATGTATTACTATCAAGACAATTTTTAAGGTTGTAACTATTAATAAAATAATACAATTTTTTGAACTTAAAATAAAAATTTGAGTGGAATTGTCTCTGCCTACTTACTACTTTTACTACTAATAATTGGAATATATTCAAGACTTTTTTTTCAAGGTCTATATCACTGTATATATGTAGTTTTTCAAATTAATTAGATACTATACTCCGGCCCAGAAGAGATCATTACCATGTCACGGTGACCAAAATGTGTCAGATTTCGCGCATACCCTATCAATAGGCATAAAGACAGATGTTCAGAATGGCTGACAATACAGTGTGGGGTGTAAGATAATACAATAAAAGTGTATATAGTCTGTTTTAGTGAGTTGTAGTATCCAATGTAACTGTCATCTGTGTCGAGCTTGCTTACTTTTTAATGTTGTATTTTATTATTTAATTATTTACACTGTGGTATTGTGATATTTTCGAAATAGACATCAATGAATCCATCAATGTAGATAAGTAGGTAATATTTTATTATTTTTATTATTCATTGTGATTTATACATATTTTAAATATGTGAATGTTAACTGAATTATCTAAGTTAAAAGAGTAAATAAATATTTCTATTTAAAAAAAATTAATAATAAAATGTAGATTATTTGTTAAAAGTCATTACTGGAATACTATATTTTTCTTGTAGTTAGTGTATTTTTATGGTAATTTTTTACTTAATGTTGGGGGAAAACTGGGAGGCTTAAAAAGTTGCATGTACAAATTAAAAACTAATGAATTATTATTTTATACCTATACACACATTTATTCAGAAAATGGGCTTGCAAGTTTAATTTCAGCACTCTAAAGATAATCAGCATTTCAGTGGTCGGTTTTTAACTGGTGTACATTTTTTTGTTCAACTGATAAGCAAAATGTTGACACCTGATAAATACAGTATAAACATTACTTAAAATTTTCAATTGCATGCAAAATATCAGAAATATCATTAGATGAAATTTGAAATAATAATAATATGCTTATTTTTGGTAAATATAAATTCTAAGGGTACTATAATATCAATAGTATAATTATATTTTTTTTTATGTCCATCTATATTTACATCTATTAACATCATTAACACCAGTACATCTAAATTAAAGTATATAATTTATAGAAATTATTTAATTAAAAACTTTAAGTTAATATACAATAATGATAATAGTTTATGTATATCAGACTATTTATAAATAAAACTAAGATTTAATTTTTGTTTGAACAATTATTATGTAAAATTAAAACTACAATATTATATAACATAATAAATATAAATAGTCAATTATTAAATTAATTTCAATTCAATTTATTAACACATAAACACAAATAGTTGATGGATTTTATCTAAGGTACAGTATTTTAATAATAAAAATAATAACATATATGTATCACCAAATAACAATGATCAAACACAAAAATCAAGTGTTGGTCTACCCACTATAGCCAATGGCTGTGCTGTGGGTAGGAATTCTAAATATAATAAAATGGAATAAAGAAAAAAAAAGACAGACATACTTTGCACCTGGATGGGCCACTGTTGTGGGTAACGTTGTTGGGTAAGTTGGGAAGGTAGAGAGGAAATTTAATGTATATCTTTACACAATGATTAATCATCACTGACGAAAAATTATTCTGAGTGGAGTTTAAATGATAGCGCAATTTTATCAATAGTATATATGTCACTATATGGTAAAATAATTACACATATATTATATAATATTTGTTTAATATTTCATGTATTTTTCCTGGTTTTTACTACATTTTTCCAACTTATAGAGAAAACTCCTGAAAAAATGACCTTTCTAAAGTAGTAACCACTCGTCATATATTTTAAAAACACTTAATGCATAAAAATTCTTTATGTGTTTCAGATCTAACACATTTCAAATATTATTAAAAAAATCCAGTACATTACCAGTGTAGTATACATTATCCCCAAGATACTATTCATAGCCAGGATCATATGTAAGTGTTAAAACCTACTTCAATAATCAACTAAATGAATGAAAATTAAACAAAAGAAAGTGATACTGCTGATGGGTCGCCACTGTTGTAGGTGAAGTTAAGAAGGTAAGATAAATAAAGTTATTTGATTTATATCTGTAAGCACTGATAAATCATTGCTAACAAAATACGATTCTGAGCAAAGTTTGATTATTTGAATTGTAAGGTCACAATATAGGAATACAAATGGTAACTGGAATTACAATTTGTACATTATAATAATAAGTCTACTAAAATTTAGCCAAAAACATTTTCATATTAAAATTAAATTTGAGGAAAATATATTATAATATCATAAATTGATTAACAACACAACACTATAATTACCAAAAAAAAATATTGTATATATTAATAAATTTAATGGAGTACAAAATCAAATCAATGCATTATATTAACAATGTAAGTCTTTCATAAAAATGTTAACCATAGAAATAATTAGTCTTCATTATCAGACCAATTGTCATTAATGGTACAGGAGAACTGTGTTTCTGTAATTGACATAGAAGGAAGAGGAAGTAAATCTGCAAAACTTACTTTTTTTGTAATTTTGGGCTTATTAGTGTCAGATTGTTTTCTTAGTGATGACTTTAAAGGTTTTTTAAATATATTTTCTATTAACTTAAAATTAGGTTCACATAAATAATTTTCATTTGTTGTTTCGCTATAAAACCCCTGACAAGAAGACATGGGAATGGGGTCCAATTCCTCCCCAGTAGTCTTTATGGTGTTTGGATTATTGATTGGATATTCATTCATCAAGTCACCTTCCGTTGACAAGTTATCATCAAAACTGATATATTTAGAGTTATTAGTGGAAAAAAAATCTTTTTCACATAGTTCACATAGTTCAATAGAATTTGAATAAAGATTAATGTTTGATAAATCTAAATTGTCTAAATGTCTTGGATTATAAATTCCTATCTAAATAAAAAATACAAAAATTAAAATATAATATACAGATACAATCATTTTAAATCTTACCAAATGTTCAAAATTTAAGGGATTAAATAATGGAAATTTGAACTTCTTGAGATTCTGATCCATATCTATTTCTATAACATCAATACATGTGTTTAATACATATTTTGCAATTTTTTTTTTATTCAATTTTGGATTATGGAGTATTTTCATATATTTATTAAGTACTTAGAAAATAAAACTCCATTTATCATACAGTTCTAAGATTCAGACATTTTTTCAGTGGACTTTAAAGTACAAGCAGGAGTATACATTTTAAAATAAAGCTGAAAATATTCCATAATGATGAAATGAATATAAATTGAATTTACTTAAAACCGTTAAATCTTAAAATGAAGTGATAAATAGATCCCACAGTGAGGGGATATTTCTTTCCTAGATCAATCTAGTCTTAAATTTCAAATAGTCCATTAAAAGTTTAAATGAAGGGCCTTAAATAAGTTCATAATTATATTTAAGAGTAAAAACACATTTTTTTAAATTTTAATAATATCAGTTGGGTATAAGTAAATTCTTGTAAAATTCCATGTACACATAAGTTATAATTAATACAAACCATCCAATAATTGGGTTATGTTGACAGATTTTATCAGCTTCTTCAATGATATGGATTTAAGATTTTTATTGTTTACAAATAATTTACCAGAATAAATATTATTTTTAAATATTTTAGGTGTAAATTTAAAATTTATTTGACCCAGTTGATGTTTCAAAATGATTGTTTCAATATGGTTTCTTATTTGATCATCTTCCAAACACAGATTTATATCAATATTATAAGTTGGAAGTGTTAACTGTAGAAATCTGGATGGACATGACCTGAATGCATACACCTTATCATCTAAGTAAAACTTCTAAACAAAAATGTTAAATAAATAAGTTATGATAAAATTCTATGTAAGACTCAGTGTTTCCCTACCAGGGATGTAGGACCTTTCCATCCATAATACTTTATCCTCAAATAATTACAAAATAATTATAATAGTATAACACTCTAATGGTGTCTTATAAATTGTAATAACTATTATATTACTAAATGATTTTAGGTGTTAAGATAGTTTGAGGAATTGTAGTAATGTATGATTTACTACAATGTTCTATTTTGTTTTTCTGTATGTAAAAACATTTTTAAACAGAAAACTTTCCTTAATCATCAACTTTAGGTCCAGTGATGCCTTCATCACCATAATCCCATGGATCATAAAGCAGATGAGAAAGTGAAGTAAGCTGAGCCAAAGAGTGAAGAACCAGAGAAGCAATGTTGACATACCCCCTCTTTTTCCAGTGGTGTTTAATCATAGAAAATAAAGATATGGATAGGCTATCCATACATAACCAGTGTTTCCAAATGTAATCCAAGTTTCATAAAATGAGGCCTTTAATATATAATTAAAGCCCACAAGAAAAGTAAACCAATTTACATATGTAGACTGACCACTACTATACTGTTTCCCACACTTTGTTCCATTCAATTATGTTCTGTGATGTGTATACATGTGCATAATTGGGCACATTTAAGTCAAAATATGGTTCACTTCTCGTGTAGACTGGAGTATATATAGTGATTAATAATTAATCACCTCAGTTTACCACCCTTTCACCTCACTTAGAATTGTTATAGGAGTGGCTATTTCTTTATTATCTATGAGTTTAATAAAGAAAAAAATAATGTATGGTTTCTGGGTATTAAAATATTATGATTTATATCATTGAACCTTGAAGAAATTGTTTTTTGTTACTTTGTCTTTTTGTGCTTGTGCTCTATTATTGTAATTTAAATAGTTTGTAATGAATACTAATTGGCAAATAATCTTGGCAACAGTGCCAAGTGGCATGTTCAACTATTTTTTAAAATGCAGTGTATTTATGTTTAATGAAGATGATGATAGATGGTGAGAACCAAGAAGAAAAAGATGTTTCAATTAGAATTGAGAAATATATGTTGAATGTAATTCAAATAATGTATTTCAAAGTTATTTTCAAACCCCATTCCTTGCAAGGTCAAAATTATTATATCTTTTTAAATAAACCAAATGTACATTTTAGATTATCCAGATCAGTGTTTTATAATACAATATTACCAAGTCTTAGACATCCCTTATTTTTAATGTTAAATACAATGATAACCTTGAATCCATGAAACCACTCAAACTATAAATGAACAAAATAATAGATACACCAAACTACAGTTATCACCAATGTGTTATACTTAAAATAGTGGATAAATTGACATCAAATAATAAAAAAATGACCAAAAAAGAGACTTACTTAAATACACCAATAAAATTAGTTTCATAAGATTTAGCTTAGTTTATAAATATGTTATTACCTATTTTGCATAAAATGCATTGTATAATTTGTATTGGACATAACCATGAAATTGAAGTAAGATGAAAACATACCAATTTTTAAATGTAGTTAAAATAGATAAATACTTATAATTATTAAATTACAAGTAAGTACAATGTACCAACTTAAAGAATTGATTATTTTTCATCTTGACAAAATTGAAAAAATGGATTGAAAATTAAAAATTTCTATAGAGACTTTTTATTAATTCTTGATAATACTATGTATTAACAAAATATATTAATAATTATAAATAACAAAAAATACCTAAAAAAAAGGTTACAGATTACATTTGGTTGACCAACTAGTATTTATAGAAATATTACAATTAGGATTAAAGATGATTAAAGATATTAATTAACTTAGATAACTAAAATTTAATTTAGTTCAGTCTTAATGTAAAAAGAAAAAATATCACTTTTTGTGTAACAATAAATCTTAAAATATCTGGGAAAAATTATTATAGCTTGAAAAAATGTATGACAAATTCATAATGAAAAGTGTCTTTTAGTGACTATAAAGATAAAAAGGAGACTTTAAGTAACTTGCAAAAAAAAGTGACAGAGTGGCTACCCTGCAACCGGATCAGAATCAGGTTAGTTAATGGAAATGGTTCCTTAGGATCATACATCAGATCACAAGTTATTTCTATATTGTTTGCTGCGGGTAATCATGATAGAAATAAGTCTAAACAACACGATTAGTAATAAAATATAATATAGAAAAACTGACAATAATATCATTATTAATTTTGGCACAATGGAAAAATAGTTTCAACCATATATACCAGTCATTTCACGGACTAAAGGAGTAAGTTAAAGGAGGTGAACTTATTTTCTTTCATTTCATACAGCTAGTTTACTTTCTGAACAATGAAGGGAATTGTCCAGAGGCTCTGCAAAATGCATCCTTTTGCAGCCCAGAATAATCAATAACTAAAATAGGTTGGGAAACACTGAATTCACTAAATAATGTATTTGAGATGATTGGGTGTGAATAATTGAATCATTTTATGTGTTGTAGGAATATTTCTACCTTACCATACACCAATTTGTGTAGCATTTTTTTTTTAAAAAAAAACTATGTAGATAGGTACACAGAAAACGATAGCGATGTCAAAATTTAGCGGCTGGAGATGTAACAACCAACACTTTTTTAAAAAAAAAACTTTTTCTCTGTTATCTACCTCTCTCTATCTCTTTGTAATTGTTTTTATGATTTTACAAGTTCAACACAATCTCATAGAGGACACCAAAGGCTCGGTTCTTGTTTTTTTTCACTGCTACCAATCCAACACAATTTTGGAAAAAAAATCACTATGCTAAACTAGAATTGTTCAGTATATTATTTATAATAACTTCTAAATAATCTAAAGATCTTTAACTTCTAAAACAATAGTATCTGATTGCACCATTATTTTCAGCATTTAAAACCAAACTTATAAAAAAAAAATTGACATTTTTTAATTTAGTGCTATAGAAAACAAATTTTGAGAACAAAAAAAGGTGTCCAGTAAAGTAGAAAAGTTCCATTTTAAATACTACTTTTTTGCACTATTAAATTTTGGCGAATGAATATAGTTAATAAAACTAATGGATACGTTCTTGATTCTTACCTGTTGGTCAATAAGATAGTATTTTGGCGAAAATTCATGTGCGACGATTGCTCGAGACCAAATGTTTTTTTCGATATCTGTTTGAATTAGTATAACCTAAAAGCGACACAGTTTCTAAGCGTTAAAAAAATTATTTCAATACGGAAGACGTGTGTGTACTGGCTACTAACATTCCCGATGTCCATCAGCCCATAATCAAGAGTACTGAACCACTCGCCGTAATTGTTGAACAATTTCAGTTTCTCGTAATACGTATTAAAATACGGAGTAGTGTCTGTGAATTTACTTTCGACAGCCAAGAATGTCGCACAGTTGTTTACAGAATGGCATATAATATTGATAAAGTAATTTTTATTCAGCTCCATCATAATGAATTGCTGTGGGCAAAAAAACGATAAACGATGAATACATACTAACGGCCCCATAATGAGCCAAGTTATTCACGTAGGTACGACTTACAGATAGATGAAATATGTTAGCAATATAGCAACCAAACCGGGATATATTGGTGAAATATGAACATAGTTAAAAATGTTGACAACTGCCAAATGCCTCGACGAAAACCACAGACAAGGGAAAAAGCGTGATCCATAGATAAGCGAAATCCGCCTATAATATTATTGTCGATTTATTTAATATAGATTATATAGTCAGGTAAAACCATTTTCAATATATTTTATACTTCTCAGTAATTATTTGATTTGAAATACAATGCCGGTACCGAGCGGCAACTGGTGGTGACCACGGACATACAATGGGATAAACAGTGTTTGAGCGTTATCATTTGATATCAAATAGGGAAACAATATCTCTGATGATAGTAGCTTATATCGTCTTATCGTAGCCAAATGTTCGGTCATCGACTACTATATTTGAGAGTCGTAGATTATATAAAATATAATTGTTGTTTTTCGCTTTTAGTGAATTTTTTTTTGTTAGTAAATTTATGTTAATTATGCTTCATAAGCGTTTTGTCTATGGTTGCTATAATCGAGATGGTCTAATCAAAATATAAAGTTATTTCAGTATAATTAGTAATATTGTTTATTATTCCTATACCTTTTTCGACCTAAAATTATGTGTTCAAGATTTCCTGATGACGATAATTAGAAAAAAAAATATCGTTGGATCTTGTTTAAAGAGAAAGTTCACTGCGATTAAATCAAGTAGACTCTTCAGTGTTTATTTTAGATCATCAGAGTTTTGTTGAAGCTCCTAGAAAACGACTGTTAAAAAATAATGCTGGACCAAGTACTCCTACTAAGAAAGTATTTTAGGAAAAAAATTAATCGGCGCTGTTCTCTTTCTCAGCGGTAACAGTAGAATTGACCATAGTTTATAGTTAATCAAGTAATCTATGCATAACATAATTACCAAATGTAAATGCGATTTTACTCTTAGTTACATCTTTTAATAATCCATCGTTGAACTACAGTCCGGTTAGTTAAATTTTAGTAATTGATTCAAAAATTGTATCAGAAAGTATAATTGATGAACCATATGATTTGACTTTTAGACCTAGTAATTTCAACATTTGAATAATAATTTTTTTTATAATTTCACATTTAATATTATAATTATGACATATTACTTATAGGTGGTTATATTTAACCAAATACTCCACAATACACACCTTCACTGAAAAAGAAATGTAAGGGAAAGATAATTGAATCTCCAATTAAAAGTAGCCTCAAGAAAAAGGTAAAAGTTTTACAACAGAAAGTTCCAAGACAAAATTCTAAAATAACTACACCGGAGGTATTATATTATAAATGATAATTGGTAATTAGATTAAAAATTAATAGTTTTGCTCAGTCTATTGTAATATAATGTCTATTGTTTTAATCTAATATATAGATAATATGTGGCCTTTGTGATTTTATTTGACTAAATGTGTAAACTGTTACTTATGTATTATTATTTGTTTAAAATATATGTATGTAACTTGTAATTTATTATCATGTTATTTTATTGAGCTAATTATAAAACTATTATGTTATTTGTTGGCTTTATGCGAGGATAATTTGGACATAACAAGAATCCAAGACAGTCAATTAAAGTCACTACCACAGATCTAGTAAAAGAAGTATTTGAAATATGTCTGTCTTATAGTTAGAGAAGTATGCTGATAACTAATATGAACAAATCTTACAAGTACTGAAGTACATATAAAGACGGTATTTTCAGCATTAAGTTAAGACAATATGCAATTAGGAATATGTTTTCGATAAGGAGAAATTTTGAAATTAACATTTTTCATTCACCCCTTTGTGCTAATTTCAACAAAGCATTGCAATTGCCAACAAATAAAGTTCCCTTTGGGTTGTTTAATTTAAATACAGTAGAAGCATCATTGATATTTTTTACAGTTCGTTCAATCTTCATTTTTTTTTACACAATATATAACTTTTATTTCCACAGTTTATAACAAGAGTCAGATGTTGGTTCATTGGAACCACAGTTAGACTGTGATTTTTTATTGATTTACTCAGATTCCACTGTTTCATCGACATCTTCACTTTAACCAAAGTAAACAATTGGTGCATTTGAAAAAAATACAGGTTTTGAATATATAAAACATCCATTTTGTATTTTTCATCACATCATTTTTAACTATAATAAGAATGAATATATTTGATTTTTTTACAAATTCAAAGAGTTCAGAAATTGTATGTTTAGACTCAATTGTTTCTTTGTACAAGTGAATTTTTTTTCTATAGGATAAACTTGTTTACCAATCCGAGGTTTCAAATCCTGCATATTCAACAATATACCCATATTACTGAAAAAATGTATTCATTTGTCTTCTCTCGATAGGTTCTCGATATTTTCTGATTTGTTTTTTTCATTCTATAATTTGAAAGTATCAAACTTACACATGTCTTTGCGTACGACAGGTTTTGGGAAACATTAATATACATTTTCTCATGCAAATTCCAGCGCCGCCCAGTTTGTGAGAGTGTTTCCGTCATCATTTTCTGCGGGATAACCCCACTCCGTGCTGTGGGAGTTGTAATCCCCGATATATATCGCCGGATGTTGGCTTACTGGAAGTGTTTGGGCCATCCGACTCTTTGAATGGGGCTTATATACTGTTGTATACAGCAAGCCCACTTACTTGAATTCCAATGGAGTTTCCATCTAAGTTCTTTACCATCTACAATGGCAGCCTTTGGTTCACATATGTCGCCAAACCGTGCTTCTTATGGCCAATGCAATTCATTAGGTGGAATCCATGGATCTTCAAACGGTGTAACTCTTCATCTGGAACATGTGTCTCTCTTGAATTGCTAGTACGTTTGCCTCTGCGTATGTTTTACTCAGAATATCTATTTTTGATCTTGTTAGCCCCTTAACGTTTATTTGGATGATTTTTATACAGTTTTTTACGGGTTTAATGCCGGTAGTGTTAAGTTTTTTTTGGGGGGAGTTATCTTTTCTCTCATGTTTTTTTTTGAAGGATTTTTTTCTGTATTTATTCCCGTGGTTGTGTACACGGTAGTCAAAGGGGTAGCCCTGAAAAAGGCTGTTTTTTCCGATTTTAGGAGGTCTGTTGACGTCTGGTTGCCGGATTGATGTTGTTTGGTTTCGTGACTCGACATATTAATAACACTATTTACAGGGGGGGGACCACGGGAAGGTATGGCATCTACCCTCCATGGGGGGGTTAATATGCCACGGTCAATGCACTGTTTGCAGTAGATTCCTATTTCACCGCTAGATAGCGATATCTGAACGGGACCAACGACCGTGAACACGGTCGTATTTTAACTATTTGCAGAAATTAGAATTTCACCACTAGATAACGCTACTTGAGCGGGACTTTATTATTTACTATGTACAAATATGTTGGGTACTCTTAAACTGTATACTAAATTCTTTTCTCGTGACATGACAAAATTATAGCAGTATCTGCAGGCATAACTTGTTCACCCTTCAAAAAATGATTTTAACTCAAATTTAAGACCTTGACCTTAAATGCTATTGTTTCCGATATTATACGACTACTAATTAACGATTGTTTATGGCTATCCTCAAAGCGCATTTATAATATACCGACCTGAATCGTGTAAAACCGGAACTATCTTATTATTTTTTATCAATTTTGATTGCTTATACTATTTCTAATATTTGTTTTTTTCAAAAAACCTAAAACAATCTTCGTAACGCCCTAGTGCCACCTTCGTAAATACGCTCATATCGTGTTCGAACTATATTATTTTTATTATTTTTTTTTTTAAAAGCGATACGACGAGTAATAACAAATCGGTCATTCCTTATTGGAACCTATTTATAATATTAGTTCTGTCAATTGCTGTAATGGAAAATTACGTCTATGTTATAATATTTATACGATAACGTTAAATTAAATTACATTTTTAATAATAATAAATGGACATGAGAAAACAATCGCCATAATGATTCAAATTGTATTAATAATAAATTCTATACCTATAGACAATTCGTAATAAGTAAGGGTTCTGCGGAAACCTATATAAAAAGAACAGTTTGATCACGACAATTTTAAAGGGGGGGGGGAGTTGGGGTTTACGTGGTTTTCGAAATTATTTTATAGGAATTAATTTTACTATAGGCAATTCCGAAAACTTTCTCCGACCATGTTTGTAACATTAGTTTTGAAATCTATTTTCAACGTGAAACTAAATAAGTGTTCTGGAAAAAATAATTGCACACGCACGTCAGAAACATAACCTAAAAACTATATAATTCTTTTACGTCTTAACTGCACAATAATGAATTTATTAGTAATACATAACAATAAATTACACACGATGCGATATTTTGTTCTCGTCCGGGATGTGCACACTTCGGTTACCCATATTTTAAACAAGTCGATTGAAAATTAAATATTTTAATCCACATCAAAGATATTATTCCGATCGCTATTAATACGAGTGTAAGAAAATTGAAAATGATCGGGCCAATCAAATAATAACATGAAAAATATAAGTTTATACGTTAGGTAATAGCATTATAGCAGGTACAAAACAAAAATATAAATATCTACCTATTAATTATAAGTTTATAATCATATAGGGCTAGTAGTGTCATTAATGACTAAATCTATAAGATTTATTTTATTTTATCATAATATATGTTACGGGCAAAGTAGAAAAATGGTAATTTTTAGAAACTCCCGAAATGGGAGAGGACTCTTTACTATGTAAACATCGATCAGTATAATTTGTCATTTTAAAAATAAGTATCTAATTAAAAATTAAGCCAGCAACTGCAGAGTGTGACTAAACGATTCCTTTTTGAATATATGTATGTATGGTATATAGCCGATTAGGAAATTAGGAGAGGGGCTAAGAGCGGCTTAGCCACACATAAGGTTTGTGTTTTATGCAATAAACTAGTGTTAACAGGTATATATAAAGTATATTAAATCAGGCCTATTCTAGTCTCGTCCCACTCTCAAAAATAAAAAGGAATTAAATCGCCATCTCTGATGATATATTTTAATTGATAATTATTATTTTATAAGGTATATTTATTTTATTTTGAATTATAATATGCATCATTAGGTTGAAACAACATTCTGATTTATAAGTTAGATCAGCGGTTTTAAAACTGGGGTACAAGAAATGATCTCAAGAGGTACCCAAAAAAAAAAAAAAAAAATTGGGTAATAGCGAAAAAATGTTGAATTGGTTTTATTTAAAATTTTTAAACGATTCGTTTCGGAAATATGCACTACATGTTATTAAAAATGAAAACTTAACCATCAACTTATAAAAATGGAGTACAGAATGTATATAATATGCATATAATAATATCATATGGTAAGTTGCGGTAATGGTGTGCATTGAAATTTGTCTGGTTTAACCTTTTCACTGTCGAATTACATTTTTTGGTTTTGTGTTACATATAGTTATAATTTAAGAATTTTTTTTAGTCAATATTTTAGGGGATTTTCTATACTTCAGTTAGCGATTAGTACCCAAAATGGTCGATTACTCTATACTGGTAGAAATGTGACTTATATTAAATTTTTCAATACACAATTATTACAATGATAGGACGCAAATATGCGTATGTTTAGACTTCTAGTAATTACAATATTGTTGTCGCACATCCGTACACCCGGGTAAAACTCAATTGTATATCAGCATGTAATCAGTTAAGAGTAGTTATGTGAAAACATTTAAAAGTTATAATGAGGGGTAAAATCTAGCAAAATGTCAAACTTCGGGGTATGGTAGGGGTATGGAAGAGAAAAAAGATTGGGAATCGTTGGGTTAGATGACTATATTATAATGTGTAGCTCTAACAAACCACAATAACATCAAGCAATTAAGTATAACTTTATTTTTCAACAATTTATATTAATTTATATTAATGCAAGCATTTATTTTTTGTTCATTGTACAAATTTATTTATAGTGAATTCAGATAAAACTTTTTATTAAGAAAAAAAGGTTATGCAATATTATGAATAAAACTTTCAAAGAGATATTCTTTTACTAATAAGAAAAATTCGTTAAAAAAAAAAAAAAAAATAGTGTATTAATATACAAAATAAAATGTTATTATCTTCCTTCATCCAGAAACCAAATATATATTTTTTTTTACTTTTTAACTAGGTTATTTTTTGTGACTGAGTAAAAAAACATAGGTACAAAGAAACACAAATCCACTATTCTCCTTAATTTTAACACAAACGCAACAATATAATTAAAGTGCATGATTCATTCCATTCCGAATTATTAGAATTATTGGAAATTGCGTACCTATCCCCTGTTTCAAAAGAGAACATACCGCCTTCACGATAAATTTCCGTTCGGCGGCGGCCATCACTCACCAGGTAGCACAGGTCACGACCATTGACATGTTTCTTAACATGTATACATACCCAATAATATTATATAAACTCTTATGAAACCTTTATGAAATATTGTAAACCATTTTTTGTCCGTCAAACTCTCATGCGTAACAATAATAAAACAAATTGTAGTTAGTAATGACAAGCATTATTATACCTAACTGATACGAATAGAATTTGTAAAACAAAAAGAGAAACTATAATTTCACATTTAGATGATTTTGTAAAAGTCATATTATATACTGTCCAAAAACAAAAACAAATCATTCATATTTTGTAGACAATAATTCATTTAATCTTTAGTAATTAATAACTATTAGTTAATAGTTTTACATTTTGCTTACTAAATTGTATTACATAATACCTAGTAAACAATTTGTAAGTTAAATATTTATCATTATGTTACCATTAGAATGTTTTGTGCATTTATAATGATAAAATTGGTTGATGGAAATCTGTGGAAGTATGTGAAAGAAATAGATATGAAGAAAAATATTCGATCCAGTAGAAAATATATTGATATATCATAATGATGAAGCATATGAAATAAGAAGTAAAAGAAAATGCGAAAACCTATAAGGTGAAACTATTATTAAAATTAAAAAGTAGTAAAAAAAAGTTGGATTGGACATGTGTCCACATGGTGATGATTAAAAGCACTAATTGGACCGATGGAGACCAAACGTGAAGCAATCCTGCAGACGATCAAGAAACGTGTGGATGGACAGCGCAATGTAAGAAAATTAGATACCTATATAGGATTGATGGGAGTCAAGTATGCAGAAAAAACTGCAAATGATAGGTAGGATAGGAAGTTAATTTTTGTGTCCTTTTATGGCTTAAAGGGCCTTTAATTTAACTGACTACAAAAACAATATAGATTTCTATGTAATCTATTTTGTAGTAGTTTAAAAGTCTTAAAATATTTTGAAAAGCTTAGTATTGTATAAGAGTTTGGTTTGATCAACTCGGCCAGTTTTTTTTTTTTTTTTTGTCTTCTTAGGCCTGTGATAAATAAGATAATTGTAGATAATCATACAAATGGATTTTAATTTTAACATCAACAATTCTTCCGCACTAACAGAGATTTTTCCTATTACTCAGCCCGTAATATAATTTTCAAACTAAACTGTAGTGTAAAACGCGTGTTTTTATTCTGTTAATACAGATTGGCATAGGTATACATAAGAACACAAAAAATAATAATAATCATAATACAATCGTTTCACTTATATAATAATATATTTATAATATCAACTACCTAAATTATTAAACTGGAAGCTTATTACCGATTATATATAGGGTGGCCTCATTTAAAATCGTAATTACAATAACTATTATTGTATCGTTCAATATACGAGAGTGCAGTTTAATTGACAACAAATGCAAAAGACTTATATTATACGAATATTAAGCAGTTCAATTATTCTCTGTTATTAAAAAATAATAGTGAATACATATTATACCTATCATCTACTATAATAGTATAGTGAAGACAAAGGAAAAAAACAAAGATTAAGAACTTAAATTGTAATACACAAGACTGGGCAAGTCAATGAATAATATTACCTCGGCAAATTCAAGTTAATTGTTAAACAGTTAATGGCGAGTTAACACGTTAAACGAAAATTGTTTATTATTCATAGTCATTGATCAACGTTTTAAAAACAAAACGTTTATTTTAGGATTATAAAATTTAATATATTTTGAACCCGGAACTCCGTACAAAAAAAAGAAAAATAAAAAATAAAAATAAAAAAAATAATTTAAACAGTAATTAAAATATTAAAGTGTGGACGTAAATATATATTTTGTAAATTGTATAATTTATTGTGGTCAAATTATATAAAAAAAAAAAAAATTGAAATGTATTAACTTGGCGTGGTTTAATATTTAAAATTAACTCGTAGTTTATTGAGTATTGGGTATTCGGTTTATAGTTAATGGAGAATCAAAGTTTGAAAAGCATGTTTAAAGTTCAAATCGACATTTTATAGCTTTTTAATTAATTCGTTAAATGCCCAGTCTTGATTATGCGATTATTTAATATTATAATATTATAAAATAGTCGTCTAATACATAAATAATAAACAATGAACAAAATATGTACACATGTAATATAATATTTGAATATATTATAACCATTAAGAATATTAGTTGCGGTAACAATAAAATGATAAATATTAATATTATAAGATTGTAATTATTATTTATTTACTACGTACGTCATACAAACAACAACTATATCAGGTAATAATATGTTAAAATAATGATAATAAATTCACAATAATAACCTACACGACGAGAATATTATGTACAAAAAAAAAAAAGTAGATAGGTAATAAGTTCGAACGAAATATTATTAATCAGCTGTTGAGCTGTATATTTAAATATTTCCGTGTTCAATATGAACGAATAAATAAACAATAATATTACAGGCGGGTACATAAAATCGGCGACGAACCATCCGTTGGGTATCAATCTCTTAATGACAGTCTCGGTGAATTAGAAATAAAAAAAAAAAAACGACGAGAATCGATTTGCGAATATCAATAATATTACGTGATAATACGGCAACGTACGATAATAATATATACAAGTTTGTACAAAATTTCCAGCGCGTGGCCCGCTATGGCAGTTTTGTATCGTCGGCCAGAAATTAAGCAAAAATATTACGTGCGAGTTTTTCGGTGTAGGTAACGATCAGAAAAAAATTAAAAATAGTGATATATAACAACCAGTATAGGTCGTAGACAATATTAATACATCATCGACTGCGTATCTCTCACACCCCTGCCTTTTGGGTTACCTATAGTATACCAACATCGCTAGAAAGAGTTAACCAGTGGCGACTTGAGAACCTTGTTTGAGGTGAGACGGAATTTTAAAAAATGTATGAAAGGAATGGGTTTTATACCAGTGGCGTAATTAAAACCAATTGGTGGGGAGGGGTGATGCGTAGCAGGGATGCATATTTAATATTTGTCACAATAACTAAAACAAGCTAGTAGGTAACAATAAAATACTCACTAATAGGTTTTTTTTCATCTGTTAATTAACAATCTACATTATTAGTAATATCATTAATAGGAACATTCACCACTTTTGCCTTATGCTTTGATAATTGAATAATTCTTCAGTCATTATTCGAGATTTAACAAATATTAAACATATAAAATGTAAACAGGCACGTTATTATAGGCTATTTTAGAAATGTAACGGAAAGAGAAAATGTTGACGAAAAACGGTTTTTAACCGTGTGTTCACTGGATAATCTCAAACTGAAGAATCGAGGCACTATAAAATAGTTATCATAATGAGTCGACCTGCAATGTAAATACGCAATCTAGAGTTCACAGGACATATTATTCTAATAAATTTTTATATCAAAACGATAAAATAATATTATAAACAAAAAACAAATTAACACAGTATATATATATAAAAAAAAAAAACGTTCTGGAAATAATATATTACCCATATCATAACTATTACGCCACTGGGTGTTTATACAATTATGTAGACTAATATATATATACTATCAAAAATCGAAAAAAAATGGTGCAGCTATCATTAATAATTATTGTTTGTTGATTATACATGTTATTTATTTGTATAATTATTGTTAGGATTCACAGTTATCGGTAACTATTTTGAAATTTAAAAATATTTATTAGGCATTAAATAAGCGTATTCATCTGTAACCAAGCAATACTATATTTTGAACGGCTCATTCAAGCCGTCACTGGAGATAGTCAATATCTGAGCGCGATACGATGGCATATAAATTGTACGTTATATTTTTCTTTTCGGGTCTCGTCGTTATCTTTGTTGTTAAACTTTTATCTTATATGAAAACCGAAAGGCAAAATACCGCCACTATTTGGCAGGCCGAAAAAAAAAAAAAAAACGGATAGACGGACAGACCATTCAGATTGGTCTTAATGTAGCTGGAGGTTTAAACACTGTCTTTTTCTAACAACGTTGATTAAAATAAACAAATACTATGGCGATTTACTTCGTAAAGAATATTGCACGAATACAACATCACATTCAATTTTATTCTATACGATGGTTTTAGCTACAACTACATTATATTTTGACCGCAGCCCTACTATTTCGGGTCGTCGTGGTAGGGAACGGGCGTTGACTATAAAATATATTACGTAAAACGTGTGAACAGAGCGAAACAAAATAAAAAAAACCCAACGGAGGAAATGACGGCCGGGGCCGATGCGATATTCGGTGGATCGCGGCGCGCGAAACGTGATCCGATCGGTCGGAGGAGGAGAGTGGTGCGTGGATGCGGGAAGTACTGAAGCGAAATAACGGCCGGAACCGACTCGGCCGAACGGGGACCGAGAAACCGGCGATATCCGCCGTCCCGGATCATCAACCGGACGTGGCCGACCCGTTTTGAAGTTCGGGCCGCGGCAACAACGCCTGTCTGACAACCAGACGTTCGTCTGCGTCATCTACATCGTCCGCATCCGGAACCGTGTCCATGATGGCCGGCGACGGGGCCTGCGGTTCTTTGCCCACCAGGTAATATGTCATCAGCTGTCCTTTGCCCTTGACCGCCACCAGGCCGCGTTGTTCGAACTTGAATCCGAAATGTTGCAAGATTTTGCATGTTTCTTCCGTCACCTACAACCAGTCACAAGAAGTCACGTAATTATAATACTATAAGGCACAGGTACTTCTAGTTTGACCGAGAAAATGTATTTTTGAAGCGAAAGTTGAATATTATTTGTACGCTTAAAATATCGTAAAATGTTTATTTATCCTAATAAAATAATGGTATGGATATTTTAATGTCGTATTCGGTTATCGTCACTATACGTAAGCAAATTTGGAATTTTTTTATCTCATTTTAGATTTAAAATATTATAATTTCATCGAGTAACAACGTGATGATTATTCATTTTTATAGAAATCAATAGTTATTGAACACGGAGGATAGAAATCTTTGTCATAATTCCATAATATTTAAAATATAGAAAAATACCCAGTTACTAAGAAAAATCCATTACACATCATTTTAACGTACTTGTATGCATCCGGCTTTTCCGGTACTCTCCATTCTGGACGCTACGTTTACCGAATTTCCCCAAATATCATAATGAGGTTTTCTAGCGCCAATAACGCCCGCTGTAATTGGTCCGTGATTTATACCTACACAAAAAAATAAAAAAGTATAATTTTCCACAGTTCCACACGGATCATAAAATATTTTTGTAAATTTGAGTTACGACAATATTATTAATAATTCATAAGAAACCACATTTAATGCAGTTCTTTTGTTTATTAATATTACCAACCAGAATAGAATTAGAAACCGTACGAATTATAATGAAAATAAACGTGGGATGAAATAGACGAAAAGTAAAAACGAAAAAGAAGCGGTTGGATAGAATTGAAAAAGATTTGAGGTCACTGTGACAATGACAGCCATTCATATTATACTGTATGAGAGATGGAAATCAATTCGTGAAAGTTTAGGACGAGGATGACGAACTTCAAATAGTTTGGGTGAACGCGAAATAGAAGGAGATAATTATAATAATAATAATATATCGTTTGATTACTATAGGTGTAGGAATAAAAATGAAGAAAAAACGTAAAATTAAATCATTTAGCTGTTTAATAATGTTGAGTTAAGTGCGCTAGTGCACATATGTTCTGTTTGTCCGTCTATATAATATTGGTCATAATTCTGATTTATTATTTTCCAAACAAATCGCATGTTGTTTACTTACAAAGAATATTACTATGGTATTTTTATTATATGATACAGTACAAATAAATATAAAATACTATAAAATGCGTACAACGTTTATATCAGAAGCGTATTTATGTGGGATAAGGGGGTGTAAGGGAGCTATAGCCAGTGGTGTTCTCATAGGGTATATTACACATACGCCGTATACTCTCAAGAGTTTTAAGATTTCGAGCGTAGCGAGGGAGCTATTGATCTTACAATGCTGTTTATTTCTTTTTTTTCTTTGTTCTATGTTCTAGTCTGTGGGACACGATTTTTCCTAGTAAAATTGCTTAGATTTTTACGCGTAACAACTTTTCTAAAAGCTCAAGTTGTCTAGATGGTAAAATTTCCAAATTCGTCGGACGACTTTTTTTTGTTTTAATAGGCTTTTTGAAATCAAATTTAAACGAAAATCGTAAAAATAATCACGACACTTCTAATTATACATTACCGAACTGCGATTAAAATCGTCTTTCGTCAAGCAATGGTTTGTCCTTGCTTACAGATATAAATAAAATAACCTTATGTATCCTACCTTCCCAACTTCTCACCAAAAATAATGGCCACTTCCATCCCTAGTATCAGCTCGGTTTTTAAATATTATGGGTATACTGCGTATACTCTCGAGATTATTATGAACACGTCCTTTACCCCTCTAGACCATAAGAAAAATATTTGTAATGTATACATTTTTATATTTTGGTATTATTTGACGACTCGGTATACTCTCAAAAAAATTAATGGGAACATCACTGGTAAATCAAAAAGGAAACAAGACAGGTTTCGTCTGATTTTGCGATCAAATCATTTTTTTCGTGTTTTATTAAAAAATTGACGTCAAAAATCAAAATATGACATTTTTAAAGTTCCATATAGACAACTTGATCTTTCAGAAAAGTTGTTACGTGTAAAAATCAGAGCAATTTTACTTGGAAAAACGTGTCCACAGACTAGAACAAAGAATAAAGAAAAAAAAAAAAAGAAATAAACAGCACTGTAAAACCATTAGCTCCCTCGCTACGCTCGGAATCTAAAATTACAGTTTCGGTAGATATAAGTACCAACTCGTCGACATTTTTATGATCGAATAGAGGAAGGTACAATGAGACTACAACGAGACTGTTACTTCTTGTATATTAGTGTACTTCTTATATTTGCAGGTTCGGACGAAAAAAAATCGTTTTGGCGTAAAATACTATAATATTGTAGATTAAATATCGTTCGTGGTAATATCACCGGTTATTTATTTATTCAATTTTTTAAATCTACTAATATATTTTTGTAACTTATTATAAAATTTATTTCCTTTACCAGTTACTATTGTAGTACTTATAATTACTATTAGTTACTATACCGTATCATAGAAAATATTATTATGATTGAATGTAATCGAAAAACTTGAATATCAACGGCTAAATTTGAAATTATTTAGAAGCAATAGCAAAAAGAGTTTTTATTTTTCGGGTTTATCTGACAGTTGCACGGCAACTTGTTTAAGAGCATATTATCTAATAGTAGGTTTATAGAGGTTCTTTCAAATGTTATGTTACGGTAGGCTTCACCACGAAACGCTAAATGATGCTTCACTCCTCTATTCCACAAAACGAACAATTTAAAAGTGAACTTGTAATTCGTAAATTAAAACTAACCATACTAAAATGTATTTAAACTATAAAAACAAACTGCACGATAAGGAAATTGGGAAGATAGAGGGAAAGTTTAATGTATATCTGTATACAGCGATAAATCATTGCTAATGAAAAAGGATACTGAGTGGAGTTCCGTTACACATATGTGGAAAGCAGTAATATTTACAATTTAAAAATAATAAATGTCGTGAATTTTCCCATTTTCTTACGTTTTTTTCTCAGTTTTTCTTATTCTATATGAAAACCCTTGGGAAAATCAAAAAATTACATTTAAAAGTATCATCCCAGAAAAATGGAATTTAAAAAAAGGTGCTACAATTAAAAATTGGAGAAAATTTCCGGAAGAAAAGTTGTTTGTGAATCAAATATAAGTAGTGGTTTTATACCGGGATATAATGAGCGAAAAACAGGCAATTAAACATTTTAGAACATAAAATTTTAAAAAGTTTCCACATGGGTAATAGGAATAATATTATGTATTGTAACAAAATATTGTGAAATTGACTGTAACAAAAAATGTTGAAGATCCTAGCTGTAGTATATTAGTATCGTTTATTGCGTCTGTTTGGAAAATCGGCTAATATCTGATTGCATCCAAATTATTGGTAATATTTTTTATTTAAATTTTACGCCATTAAAAAGTGCACATTTACGAAAAATAATCGCAATTATTATGTGGTAATATTGTTGCGCCGATATATCGAATTTTAATATTTTAGTGCAAGTACACATGCGAATGTTTAATGTATAATATACATCTACGTTAATTTATATACTCTCGGATTTGCATATGATGTCCGGTATGGTGTTCGGAACGTTCATTAAATAATTTTAATTTGTTAACGTGCACACTGCCAAAAATAATAATATTTAAACGATGGCGTTCGTTAAAAAACATTTAAAAAAAAAAACACACAAAATAATAAAAATAACACATCCGGTCGCTCGTTAATGTTTTTTTTTTTTTTAAATTTAATTTTTATATTATTATACAACGCTGTAATCGCCAACACCGTGTTCATAAAATATAAGTTGATTGGTGTTTATCGTAAATCAACGATTTTCTCGATGAATTTTAAGTGAATTTGATTTTTTAAATTTTTTTTTCAATTATGATCCAACCGCATACAATGCTTTCTTTTAACACTTTTTTTTTTAAATTTTAATCCTTTATTCTTAAACTTTAAATGTGTAGGTATAAACTTTCGAAAGGGAAGTATTGGCACAAACATGGTAGGCTTTGGTGATGTTATTACACACAAAACTCAGTTAAGCCCAACAAATCAAGTAAGTGGTATCAGGATCTAATATCTATCTCCAAATATTTGTGATATTTTTGACTATGACGGTGGTGGGGGGTGGGGGGTTAATCAAATGAAAATTTGAAAATAGTATTAAAATAAAGCTTAAACATTATTCATCGAAATAATGATTGAAAAAGAGAAATCAAATCCAATTAAAATTATCCGGGAAAATTGTCGGTTCATGATAAATGGATCACACTGTATATAATGTATTGTTTTTTTCGATTTTTAAACGAATGTTATATTGTTATGAATTACACAAATTACACACGCACTACTGCTGTCACGCTGATAGGCGGACATATACGTCGGGGATACCCCAGACTTTAGCATTTGGTAGTGTATTATACTTTCGTATTCACGACATATTATGTCGCTTATCATACTTGATCGGAGTTAAAATACAAAACCACAGGTGCCCGTACCCATTATTTTAAATATACGTACCCATTTTCAACACAAAGTGATTAAAACTTTGTTCGTTAATCCCTTGAAGGGCTTTTTTCAAATCGAAAGCGAAATCCACAAGCAGTGCTAAGTGCGCCCATCTTACTTCAATCGGGTCGTCGGGCTATTATTAAACGTTAATAATAATAATTTTATTATAAAACACGATTAGTAGAAATTATGAAAAAATTAAAAAAAAATAGAATTTATGGTGTACTTTTACGACGCGAGAAGGGTTTAGTCCACTGGCCGCCATGTAAGTAGAACCGATTGTCTTGATTTTAATGATGTCTTGATAGCGCTTTTGTTCCAGAAGCTGTAAAACAAATACATTAATTTAATTTATGGTTCATATAATCATTCGGAATTTACTAACTGCGTCGAAATCGGATATAACTTCGTTGAGAAATCTCAAACATTCTAGCCCTTGATTGTTGACCGTCTCTTCCGAATAAAAATCTAAGTAAATATATTGTTTATAGAAATTATATTTTTCTGTATACGACAAGGTGATAACATCCAGTGAATGTTTACGAAGATTTTGAGTAAAATATTGATGTTAGTTTTGTTCAGTCAGTAACAAAGTTTAATAGTCTTGTTTATGATATTTTTTAAATATTACCCTTATCATTAACTTATTAACACAATATCAACTCTCTATTTTTAGTATAGATTTGAAAAGAGAATATTTTTCTACACATTTTTATGTCAATTATATATATACAGGGTAAGGTTATCATATAAAAATGGATATAAAATGGTTTATACCCTTTTCTATCCTTAATTTGTTACAAAAATCGATTTTACTTAAAATCTTCGTAGCTAATCGCTGAACCATGGTTAAAAAACCTACCCTGATAATATGAGAAATAAACAGACTGAAATATCTAGAATATTTTTGTTCTAACAAAAATCAAAATTTTACCAGAAAAGTTTGGCATAGACGCGAACAAAACTCCAACTTCTGCGTAACTCTGGCTGTACAGTTCTTCATGCTGACGTTTATAACTCCCTAGAAAATGTTTAGCGACGTGAGGTGGTAAAATATTGTATACTAAAGCTTCGTTTCGCCTTCGGATGTCCGAAGCGCGTTCTCGCTGTTCTTCCACTTCCGTCCGCCACAGATAAAGAACCCTAGACGATTTATCCATCTGTAAAAAGAATAAAAAAAAACCGAAATATTGTAAACACTGAAAATGGGGTTTTCAAAAAAAAAAAAAAATAGCATAAATGAAAAAAGTTACGTTTCTAGCCAAAAACACGAGCGCCATTGTAACAGCTATGAGTAGAAACGATAGAGCGTATTTTGACGACAACACTCTGAAAATGATTAATTACACATCGTATCATTAATATATCCATTAAATCGCATGTTATTATTATTATTGATTATAATTATTATGATGAAACCATAATTTTTAGCTGTTAAATGTATACACGTATATTGTTTATTTTTTTTTCAATCAGTAGATTGGTTGATCGGTGTAATGGTCCTACACTATTCTCTGTCTATAGTGAATTTCTCTAGCTTTTTGTAGGATTTCTCGGTTGAACTATTTGGCCTTTCTTTCTTTGTTTTCCTCTTGATATTCCTTTTGATTATCGTAGTTATCCATGTCGATTAATAAAGGTTAAAATTTAATATAATATTTTACAAATACCAAATTGTTCAGTAGAGCCATTTAAAGTTTTTGAAATTTCTAACCCCCGTAGTTTTGCTTTAAATTTAATTGTTAATTTGAATATAAACTTTATATGGTGTACAACTAACCTAAAATAAAAATTTGTTAGTTAAACTCGATTGAAACTATATTTTTTGTAAATACAATTTTTGTGTAGAAAAATAATGGATTTATTATAAATTGAAATTATTATTATATCTTGGTATGAACATTTCATGAACACATAAATAATTAAACTATTATCCGAAATTGAATTTATTGGTTTTGTGAAATATTTAATGTCCGGACATGTTACATTTGTCCACTTAAAATTAACATCAATGTTAATATATTATGTATTTAAAATAATACTGTATTTCACGTTTTTTTTTAGAGTTATCATTTTTGTGCATTCGAAAATATGAATAATTCATAAAGTATCAAATATTATTACGTATAAATAATTCAGTAAGAATAATTTTGAATACTCAGTGTTTGATAGAATGACCAAGTTTTCTAGATTAGACATATAATGCCATGTTTTTAAAAAATAGACATATTACCTATATTTGACCTTTTAAACCATTGATGTATTTCATTGATTGTACATTATGAAAATTTACCCTATCTATTTCTTGTACTTTACTACGATCGTCTTCCATAAAGATCAATCATCATTCATCATATGGTACACTTCTTCATTTGACACTCTTATTATAGTATTTCAAACTGTACTGTAAAGCTAAGCGAAACTGTACTCGCGAGAATGAACGGTTTAAAAATGTCTATTAATTATTTGTTGTACTCTGCTCGTGAGTGTCCGTCATAAGGAGATGTGTTCAGCCGGGTAACCGTAAACTGTGAAAAAAACAACCTCATCTCCGATATTCCAACTACCTAATACGGACACAACTTTGCTACCCGACACCTGATGTATGAAAAACGAGATTTCTGTTCGTAATGTCGTTTACAGAGAAAATCACATATTATAGTAATAGGTTCTTAGTTCTGCTATCTGATATATGTATATATATAAATGTTCTTTTTTTTTTTATTACTATTATTATTATTATTATTATTACCTTAACGGCTTAGATATGATGGCATTTTCGCAGTCCATGGCGGCGCCCACCGTGATCACGTTGACGACGCAGTGTACCAGCGTGACGATCATTAATATGGTGGCTTTGGTGAAATGCGATAACTGTGTCAGCAAGGACGTGGCAATCAGGGCCAACACCATAAAGTAAGTGAAGTACGACGGGTACACGCAATACGCCGACGGATCACTCTGGCCGTGCGTGCAGTTGGTCAGTATTTGATTGCCGGACCAGCACGATACCTTCGAACACGCAGAAAAACGATTATACTATGAACCCTATCACCAGACACAATTACACAGACTTGTAAAAGATACTAAATAAAAATATATTATTTCAAACACAAAATAGGCGTTGACAAAATTTAGACTATTACACGTATTTGAATATACGATTACAAAATGAAAGTATTTATAAATACGCATTTTTCTTTTTAGATATTGTTAATAATTATTTATATAGATAATTTTATTTGAAAATAGGCAAAGTGCTCACTTTGCGAGTTGTCTTTCGACACAGTTTACATTAATCAATACGTTTATCGGTATAAAGTCTATAGGAATTGGGTTTTAAGTAAAAAATAATAATAATAATAACATTGGCAAAATAAAAGAGAAGAGTTATCAATAATATTCAGATTCGTTTTGTATAATATATACGATTTCAATACTAGTGCAACTGCACAATAGTTACAATGTTTACAATGTTTAATCCGTTTTACTTGAAATGCGGTATACTGCTTAAATTTAAAATATGTTTTCTATATTTTAAAAATTGTAAATGTACTTAAAAGCATTTTCGTGAAATTATTTAAAATACGTGTTTGAATGTGCTAAAAAATATTTGAGGATATTTTTATTTAAATTCGAATACTTTACAAGTCTGCAGGTATTAAAACTGGCGAAATCCGTCTAAAACGGAAATCCGAGACTCCGCCAAGAAAACGATGAACGATTTTTAACAGACGTTAAATATATGACGACTATCGGGACGAATAATTCTGTTTTAGACGGGTTTCAAACTTTTTTAAACGACTCACCATTCCTACGAGGTTGGTGGAGGCCAACAGCAGCGCAGCAACTATGCCGAGTATGCGGCGAGTCCATAACGAGTTGTTGATTATCTCGCTAAACCATACAATTCTCGACGGCAGAAACTAATATAATAATAATATATATATATACGGGTAATCATAATAAGAATCAAATTTTATGTTTTTTTTTTTTTTTTATATTATACGCATAATCAAGGCTCAGAAGTTATTACACTAAATATACAGCGTCGTAAAAGCACCGTATTAAAACATTCTGAGGCAAAATATATTTTTCGCCTCTATAACAAAAATTAGAAATTATAATATTCATTGTCACCAAAACAGTGTTGTGACTGTATTTTTCACTGGATAATTATAGGGTTTTTTTTCGGCGAAAATAAACCAGACCATACATTATCACAATAAACATTTCATTTAAATTTTAAATTAAGTAAATTTACATTCACACCATATATATTTGTACTTTTTATTTATATTTAACACATTTTTATGAAAACATGAAATAATTTGTATAATATTTATTCATTATGGTCATTGATTAAACTATCATTGATATTGGTGGAGTATGATTGCGCGCGGTCCTTGTCGACGATATCTTTTAAGGCATACGATGTAGCGGGCCGCATCATCTATACCATGTTTATTTCCATGCAACGTTGCCAAATAATATATACTATACAGTATACAGTACCAAAATATATTTACGGCGAACTTTTATATTGAATTTATAAGAATTATCTTGGTCATCCGTACTATAATAGGTTATTGATTACTTATTATTGCCGCTGGAAAACTTATACCAATATTATAGTAAATTCCCATATTACAGACACAAATATTCTATAATCGCATGATATATATATCTAGTCCATACTGATAGTCGTGTTCATGTTTCAGTTATTATTATTGTTATTATTATTTTTTTTTTGTAGTGAAACAATTTATTGTAAATTGAAAAACAAAATGTGCTCTATAGGTAGAACAAAAAAGGTAGTTTCTGAAGGTACCCAAAAAGGGTACACATATCGATATATCAGACAGCGGGCTGATGAATATGTAAAATGGAGGTACTGTAAAAACAGTGCACAGCTGCTCTATTAACAAACAATAATTCTGTATTCGATAATATTGGTGACCATAAGTATCCTGTGGATACGGCTTAAAAAAGATGTCCTAGGATAATGAGGACGGGTTCAGTCACTATTATAAATAATTTAATGTACACCTGTAATTATTGCTTACGAAAAAACGGAGTTTTTCTGAGCGGAGTTCAGTAGATAAGTGATGCTTTGTCAACAGTTTATTTAATTTTATAGTGAAATAATTAAATGGACTTTATATATTTTCTTTAATAATAATTGTTTAATGTTGTAGCGATTTTCCCAGTTTTCCAACTTTTTTCTCGGCTTTCCCTTGTTTTATCCCGGTTTTTCACATTTGCTGGAAAAACTCTCGGGGAAATCGAAAAATGACCTTCCTAAAGTATCTAGAGAAATTTATTTTTAAGAACATTGTTATCATTAAAAGTTGCAGCAAAATTTTTGGTAGAAAAGCTATTCACAGAAAAAAAAATTGTAATTTATATTTACTATATTTCGTAAATTTTCCCGTTTTTTTCGGTTTTTCGCATTTGATGAGAAAAATCTTGAGAAAATTGAAAAATGACTTGTTTATGGTACCTCCCCATGCCTATTTCTTTTTAGAAAAGGTGCTAAACGTAAAAATCTGAGCAAATCTTCTGGTAGAAAAGTTGCGCACAGATAAAAAAAATAAACATCTTTGTAAAACCATAAGCTTCTTCATGGAATGAAGATAGGAAGATTGATAGGTAAGTTTTACGGGGAGATAGCAAATGAAAAGCTACAAATTCCATATCTATCAGGCTGATAAAAATAATTAGAAATTAACTTATCAAGTTGTATCATTGTATAATATAACAAATGTATGTATGAATATATGGAACGATTTTGGCAACGTCGGTTCCAATATCGTGAATGCGCACGATATTGGAATAAAGCATTTGTATATTTTTGAAAGGCCAAATATTCCGGCACCGCGTGCAATCGCACTGCACCCATTTATATAGGTACTATACATAATGTATATTTAATGGTTTTAAATATTATTAGCTTTATCAGTTTGTCACTACGGATGATACACGAATCGCAATCTATTAAATTGCGCATGAACAACCAGCAACTAGGCCTTCTTCACATATATATTTAAATTGATTTAATTTAAACTATAATTTGTTTATCAAATAATCATAAACCACCAGCTCAATAAGGATCAACAATCACACATGTAATCCCTTCGAAAAATGTGTGTGCTTTGTGGCAACTGTCTTCATTGTCCTTGCACAGCACTACGCCACTGTGAATATATTAAATATTTATACTTACTCTTGGGAAAATGTCAGCTACCGATATGATTACGATTAACAACAATATCAACAACGCGAGAAAATTGGAAGTGTAGCTCAATAAGTCCCTATAAAATAATTTATGACAATAATATTATTACTGGTCTATTAAAAATATTGCATATAAATAGGTATCTAATCAAAACTTTTGATAACGAACCTGGGTAACATAATCATTTGCGCGGAAGACGTTAAAAACAGTACTAACGGGCATCCCAAAAGTGATACGCCACTCGCCGCTTCTTTGTGGTATTTGTACTCGCGTTCTTTTTCCTCGTCGTTGAACGCCAATGTGAAAAATTTTGTATGTTTGTTCAGGTCTCTATAAGAAATTATCATTTACGCGAAAAAAATATTATTGTAGAATGTCGACATTGAAAACCAGGGCATGATTACGTATCTATTTATATAGACTCTATTCGAGTTCGGCCCAAGCCAGAATTTAACCGAGTTGGTTTTAGGAGCTTTTAGAAGGTTTAATGAGTTTTCGTAAAACTTACGTATTGGCTTTTTCTTAACAATAATGTTCCAAGAGAGTTAGTGTCCAAATGTAAATCATGTATATTATATCGATAAGAGATAGAACGATTTGTATTTTCAAAACAATCTACTATCTCTTAATGAACAAATAAGTGGTTTCTAATATAGTTACTACTTACCTACCGTTGCATAGCGAGGTTTCTATATTATATTTGTATAGGGAATTAAAATAAATTGAAATAGAAGAACAAAGACGGACATACTTCGCACAATGGGTGGGCCACTTTGTGGGAGGAAAGTTGGGAAAATGGGATATATGAAACTATTTAATTTAAATCTGTATGCAAAAACTAATCATTCCTCTGCGATTTACTGAATCTCGAATCGATGTGAAAAACATCATCTTTTGTTTACATTTTTGTTATCTCTCGTCGTCGTATTTTTGTATCTACTTAGAATGTATTATTTTATTATAATTTTCTACGGCCGTATCTATAGTGCATTACATGTTGTTTATTTTAGCGTGATAATTTTGTTTGGGCTTCATAAAATAATATTATTTCAGCTGTATTTTATACACCGTCTCGAATTATAAAATATAAAAAAAAAAAAAACCCAAGGAATTCACTCATACAATTTTGATTTATTAACTTCAAATAGGTAGACACTTATATCGTTTTACCAAAAACACGAAAATAACTCCAGTTATTGGAGTATAATATTTAAAAAAATTATTATTTTGTTAAATATACAAATGACCGACGACGTATAAATCACTAATAATATTATTTTTGGTTAAAAACGAGAGCATATAATATACATTTAATAGAGTTCTATATTATTTATCATACTTTGCCATATAGAGATCGTATATTAAATATTTATAAATTATAAACAATTTATGAATTTTTTTTTTTTTCAATTACCACGTTTATACGCAATTATTGTTAATGCGGTTTGACTTTTTACGCTTCGAGCTAATCCGGGCGTATGGAAGTGTAAAAGTGGTTATTTTTAAAATATTCAATTTAGTTTTTAATTCGATACACCTAATTCAATTAACTTTTACTTCATGATTAAAAAATACGAGTAAACGGTTTTTATGAGAACACTTTTTTTTTTTGGTTTTTTGCGGGTATTCTACTGGGAATAGAAAACATTAGCGTTACCATACAGACTATGTGGAGTTATGGTTACTTAATTAAAAAATCTGTATAAAGCGTAATCAGTCAATTCAAATTAACAATGATTAGGTATAGTTCAGATTTTTTTAAAAAATATTAAATAATCAATTTTTTTTTCGGTTGACATGATATAAAGAACATTAGTGTTGAATACAAATAAATTATTATCTTAATGAAGACTAGAAATAATTAATCGAATAATTATCTAGACGGTGATAAATAATCATTACATTTTTATCTGGATAATGGTAATTTTTTTCACTATTTAACTATCAGAAAACTGCATCTAAATTTCAAAAAGCCTTTACGGCAGAACTGTTTTTATAAATGGGACAGCAACATGTTCGTTTGTTCTATAATCACCCCTCCCCCTCACGTCCGTCAATTTGTATTAAAATAACACCTTTGAAACTCACTTGGAACTTCACTTGAAACTTAATAGTTCATGTATAGATTAACCATAATAATATAATGATTTAAATAATTCAACTATTATTTATAATGCATATTATACTGGGTGATTATTGTATCAACACTTTTCACTTAGAAGAGTATTGACCACTTAAATTTTTTTTTTTGAAAACTTAAGAAACAAATAGTTCTAAAATGTTACATTATCATTTTTTTTTTTTTTTTTTTTTTTTTTTTTTTGATTTCCGTCAATCCATCGACGAGATATTCCACTTTTAAGTTGAGGTCGGAGGAGAGTTAGTAGTGATGCGTTATTACAACGCCGCGCACTGTGCCACCACACAAATGATGCTCTAATGAACTACTCTTCCCTGATCCAATCCTAAAAGTGGAATATCTCATAAACGGATTGGCGGAAATTAAATATTTTGACACCAAAATCCATTTTAAATAATAATCCATCTATTTATGGAATTTCTAATAAAAGTTGCTATTTGAAAATCAAAATAAGGTAGACATTTTTACCCCAAAAAATTAGGCTAACAAAAAATAATGTAAATTTAAAATTGCAGAGCGGCTTGTTTATTAAATTTTCTATAAACTAAATTCCGAAAAACTTAATACTTTCCGAAATAATGAGTGTTTAACGACAAAAGAATCACCCGGTATTATGCAGTAATATTAAGATTGAAATAATCGGGTAGGTATATAAACCCAAATAAATTGGGTAGGTACCCAATATGAATATTATTTGAACACTGATGGCGATAATTGATTTTATAGGTAAGTACCTATACCTACTCGTATTATAGGTGTACAACAGATTTCACTGATACACAAACATGCAAATTTAAAATTGATTCTAGAGTTCTATATAAAATTCGAATATTAATCCCATGCGACGATTATCGATTCAACGGCGTACCTAAACCAATTTATACTAGGTACGCTGAATATACCTATGTGTAATATTATGATGAGCGATGCGAAAACACGACTAGTGCGAAGGTAAAATAATAATATTTGTAATTAATCGAGAAATTTGTAATATTTGGCGGGTATTTCGTGCGAAGCTATCCGCTTTGTTTCGATTCCGGGACATTATGGTGAAACAATCAATTTTCGGCGTAGGTAGGTCGTACGTCCATCAATAATAATATTATTATCACATAACAATGCGTGGTTTATAATAATGTTCTCGGGTGGATAAAACAGGGTGTCCGCCGCGGAAACATTATTATAAAACCATCGAAATATTTACAGCGTGAGAAAAAAAATTGTACATGTTTATCAAGTCCGAATGATAATTTATTAACTTGTGATTATAAGCCAGTGACAGATTTGGCGTGTATGATCGGTTTTGTTACAAATACAAAGGCTAAAAATGGCTAAGCCGTACTGTCATAACGATCGGAACCGAGCACGGGTACACGACTTATAGGTTATAGTAGCGTTAATATAGAATGAGAATCTCGGGGGAAAGAACTCTCGAAGTAGGCCCGAGGGAAGAAGGATTAATACGTTGTCTCGAAGATGATCTAAGGAATCTGTGAGTGACGGAAGACTGAATAAATACGCGTGACTACAAGGATGGACGGCGTGATGTTGTTTTGACGGCGTTATCCGAATGGCATGACCAATATTTTATAGGACGTTATAAGAACCATGCTTAGAATTGTAAATGTCAGAAGAAGAAGAAGAAGAAAAATTCAGGATATTTTTTTTAAAAAAACGTCGTTAAGATTTAACTATTGTTTTGTTAACTTAAAAGTTATTTTGAAAATTTAGTAAGCTTAACGCAGTAATTCATATAAGCCAAGTTAAACTTTTTTTTTGTAAAATTTGTATTGCATTATATTGAAAACATTGAACATGATTAAACCCAAAGTTTGTAATTTTTATATAATACAAGAATGATCGATGATGTTCCTTGAGAATATTAAACTATACTAGTTTCAAAATTTGGAACTCCACAAAAGCAGCAAAAATAGTAATTATACAGTAAAAACAAAAATATATTTTTACACGTTGATGACACCTATTCAAATACTGCTCGTAGATGGTAAATTTAATACTGTGTTAAAATTAAAAACAAAATTGTAATTGATTGTGTGTGAAATAATTACGTTTGGAAAATCAAATAATAAACTATCAAAAAATGTTTGCACGATTTCTGGTAGAAAAATTGGTCACAGAAAAAAAAATAAACATTATTTTAAAACCAAAATATTCCTTGCTACCTTCTGAATCTAAAATTAAGATAAACATGCTGTAATTAACCTAACTTTTAACTAAATTTTAATTTCCAGTCTTGGTGTTTATAATTAATTTAACCATTATAACTCCAAATTTTTATTACCTATGACCATCTCTGTTCATCAGATCCTTTCTTAACCGTTTCTTAAAGTTTTCTGAATCCTCCTTGGCCTGAGCTATGATGTCTGCGTCGTCGATCGGTGTAGCACACTATAAAATGGACGTTTACACAAAATGTGTTAAAGTAAACTGCAATATACGAACACATACGTATTGTTATTATGACATTTTATATACTAACCACGGATTCTTTGCTGGCACTGTGTTGGTCGTTCAATGTTCCGTTCTGTACTTCCATTTTGAACTGTTATGCACATAATAATAATAATAAAATAAAAAATATTAACTATATTTGATTTTTCGCGGGAAAATTGTGTACTACTATTGACTTTTGAGGTGTAAACAATAATATTAAATTACCGGTTTGATGGCTTTAATAATGAAAAATGTTTTTATGCTGGCCATTTTCAGTGCTTCTTCACGCCGTTCACCGTAACCGGGCTCCACCTCGAACTCTCCGTTTAAAAAACTCAACGTTTTCTCGGATATATGAACTCGTCTGCGTATAGAGATAATATAATGTTTATTTGAATACGACTCGGGTAAAAACGAAAAAAAAAACAAACGAAAAGTACCCCGGCATTCCACTGCTTTCCATTTTGTTGGCCAATTCTACGTCCTTGGAGTAAACATCAAACTGCCATTGCCTTTGACCCAAAACACCGGCTAAAACGGCTCCTGTGTGTATGCCAACGCGCATGTCAACCGGCGAATTTGTGGTTTGCTGTACGTATCTACACGATAAATGGTAGAGAAAAAAAACATTAGGCACCTAAGTGAGTTTGTGGTCTAATTTTAGAGTTTCGAAATTTAACCCACTTGATAGCTTTGACCATGGAAAGCCCCATGTGTACGCTAAGCACTGCGTGATCTGGTCGTTCCATGGGAGCGCCACTAATACAATAGTAACAGTCGCCTAAAATCTTAATCCTGAGCTGTTGGTATTTCTAGAAAACAAAACACACCGGATGTAGAGTTAAAAAAAGGCATAAGTAAAGATCGCAAATAAACGGTTCTAACCTCATGATAAACTTGTGCACTTATGGTTATAAATAACATTAATAATGGTGATAGGCTAAGCGAAAATAAAAATGAAAAAATGTAATTCAAAGCTTTATAGATCATTAATAGTCGCTAAGAAAAATGATCACAAATTAGATGAGAAAATGTTATGTGGCAGGTAGTCTCATTCTGCTTAAATATGAATTTACAAACAGAATTTTCTAATTTTCGATGCAGTTCTTATTAACATAATTATTCGCGATTTGTATTTTCACCACTTTGACTGCCAAACTTGGTATGTAAACACACCGATTTACATAATAATATAATTTATATACGGTTTTTGTGCGAAACATAATTAGCCAGATTTTAATATTTTTCGGTTTACACATCGATCCTATATGCGATTTTACTCTACGTTTAATATTAGTACTTTCAGATAATTATTTGCCATGAGAAATAATGCAATCAATATTTAATTATTATAAAATACCGTAAGTCATTATTCGTATGGAAATAATAAGTAAGTATATTAAATAATACCGCGAGGAAATTGATAATTCGTATCTTTACAGGCCTAAATCGTTTTCGTTTATACCACATAATATTATAAGTTAATCGAAACCAACAGAAAATAATTTTTGTAAAAACAAATGTGATTACAAAAACGATAAATCTTAATATTTAATTGAATTATTTTGAAATGAATTAAAATTAAAAGTATACCTAGGAAGAAAATGTTTGTTAAGGAATTAAAACATTTTTATAGTTTCCTGAAAACGTGAATTGTTATCTTATCACGTTTCTCACAAAAACATTAATATATTTGTATGATATAATATAATAATAATTATTTAGGTACAAAAAGAATGTTATCTTCATTGAAATAGTACTCACCTCAGACAGTCTGTCAAATCTTGCGAATAATTCGTTAAGGATTTTCACCAGATCCGACGCTGAATATGTAGACGATATAGCCGTAAATCCGACAATGTCAGCGTATAAAATACTGCGAACAAAAAATTATAAATATATTATACAAAACTTAACAAAAATTTTAATAATATAAAGTAAAGAATATAAATTGAATTCATTTTGAAAAAAATATCTTTTTTTTTACGAAAAAGCGAAATAAAATGTACAAAACACAATGTACCGGAAGAATATTCAATTTAGACGCCGTCGTCGTCGCGACGTTCTATGGAAATGGGTTTATTTTTCAACTATATATGTACAAGAAGAAATACTAAGAGTGAAGTTAAAAAAAAAAAAACAACATCCGATATAATATTTAAAACAAAAGTTACGCTTATTAATCAGCCACATCAGTTTTGTTTCAAATATAAGTAATAATTATTTACGCTCGGTAAAATGAATGATGCGATTATTATTTATTTAAACTACTTTCGGTGAGGGACGATTGATACATTAGAATGCAACAATAATAACGACGAACCTAACGGTTCGACTCGATTGGATTTCTACTCAAACAAACACGGACGACTAGGTATATGGAAACGAAAATAACATCACCAATTATACTCGTTTTGCGCACTTTAAATCATTCTATCGTTTCACTAAACACGGCAACAATATCACTATAATATACTTCTGGCAAATTACAAGCGCAACAAAAATGCACAAATGATAAATTATGTACAAACCTCTTACACGTAGAGAATCATACGCTTTTTAAGGGCAAATTATATTCGTGTAAGTGATCAGGGTTCGTATGAAAATGTTAATAAACTACAAAGGGAATAGAGATAAAACAATATCTCGTAACAGCGGATAGGTAATACTACTTCGGATCGATTCTGCTTTTAGAAAAATTGTATGGCATGACTATAAAGACCTTAAACAGTAGTAGAATAATTTAGGTGGGGCGTGTGTACAAGAGATTAGAAGGACTAATCAGACAGAGTTCAAGAAGTTTTTGTAGAGTTTCTGGTATTCAGATATGTGGAAGAATTGTAAATAATAGGAAAGAGCCAGGGCCTGATTAATGGATTTCTACCAGTAGGATTTGGTAGTGACTTTTCTTTTTTTTGCTCATCATCCACTTAATCTCCCGTCCTCTCCATACCCCCAAAATAGGTCAAAATAGGAGATACAAGTTTAAAAAAAGAATTGTTTTGTTTTGCCCAATACCATTGAACTGTGCCCTAGGCTGCAGCTTTTTCAGCCTATTGGTTAATCAGGCCCTGGGAAGAGTAGTGTTGGAACTAGGATTTTTCACATCAGAGAGTTAAAAATACTATACGCCCTATACGGTATTCTCTCCACTCCTTTCAGACCTAAATATTTATAAAATGCAAAATGTATATAACGTACACGATCTCCTGGGAGAACGTTCTAAGAAAATGGAAAATTGAATTAAAGAAGTATCTAAAATCAGTAAACATACATAACAAAAGTACGCAAATATGCCCCAGAAATTGTACGCTTGAGGATAAATTCCCTCGCTCTGCAGTTCGGACTGTGGATAAGAGTGGAGCCAGTGGGTTGTCACGACATTGTGCCTTAAGGGCACATTTTAAAAAATGATATAATATAGTAGGGAAACATTCGTATTTCAATGATGATCATTTTAAAAACTGCAATCATGGAGGATACGACAAGGTGTCCGTAAAGTTTGTATTTTAACCGTGGGTAATAATATTAGAATGGATAGTCCATCAGCTTTCCCTGAGCGTTCTCGTATGCTAAGCTACTGGGAATCATAGATAACATATTATCATAATTTATCATTTTTTCTTTTATTGTTTGATTTAAAAATAAAATTATAAATAATTTAAAAGTATTTTACTAGTGACAATGAACAATATCACAACAATATATTAAAACGATAATATTTAAGAATATATAAACTACTTTTCAATTATACTTATGCCGAAAGTAAATTAATTTAGTAAGTTTATTTCGTTTTTATTTTTTATGAATTATCATTTATTTTACGCGTTTTATGAAATATCGTATATCTATATTATCTTTTAAAACATTAATGTTTATTGGTTATGTTTAATGTTTAAATGATGATTGACTTTCACAGTTGTAATTTAATTTATAACAAATATGGGAATGGCATTATTGGGGTATGGAACTAAGCTTCGGGAGCGCTACTCCATGATTATTTAGCAAAGACATAACCTATCTTTTTTATATTTTCTTTGATATTAACACTACAAATATTCGTTTTATTTTTATCAGTCATAGTTTTCAGGTGTGGTCAGCTAGATTAGTCTAGCCCACCAATCACAGTAAAAACAATGGTGGAAATGTAGCAGAGTTTAGGGCATCGTTCTTTATGTTATGTTAAGCTAACAGCAATAATATAATTTCAAAGTTAGAATCGTATAATAATTTGTAGTGCACATAAAGTGCATTCCACCAGATTGAAGTTCATTAAAATTATGAATGTATATTAAATATTAATATAATATTAAATATAGGTCATGGAAAACAATATTCGACTTTGATGATAATAAGAATTAATAATATGAGATGACTAGTATGATGTTTAATCTGTTCATAAAAGCTATATAAACGTGTATTTGCATATTGTTTTTTTTCGTTGTACAAACTCAAGCGATTTGTGTAACATAATAATATACTATAGGTATATATTTAATACTCAATAAACAAAATAAATAAGGGCTAATACTAGGGACGGGTTAGGTTGAGAGAAGTTCGGTATATGTATGTTTTGAAAAGCGGTAATATTTACGATTTTGGTCAAAATTTAGTATTAAACGTTTTGTATACAAAAAAAAAATAAAAAAATACTACATTACAATAAATTTTTTTATTTTTTGATTCCTTAGTAGGATTTATAATGAACCTACTGTTAAGTTTTCAAGCTCTTCTGTTAAGCCTAACAATATGAGTATTAATTTTAGTACCTACAAAATAAAAATTACGTAGAAAACTCGTAAAATTAAAATGTCTATAATGTTTTGATAATTTACTAAGTCTGGAAAAAACAAGTATAAGTTCATCAAATGATTTTTATTTTATTTTTTGGAACATATTAATATCTAAACTAACCATTTATCTATTAATTCAAATTACAGGTAAGTTTTTCAATTTTTAGAACTCAGTTTTAGAACTAACATAATACATCATACATATATACATTAGGTTGGATCTTTTTTTTTGAATTCCAAAATTTCGATCCAGGTACCCGTCAATTTTTAAAGGCCTCAAGTAAATAATTTAGGCAAAATTGCATTACAAAATTAACGTGATATATCCTACAAGAAAAATATATATTTTTTTACATTTTTTTGGTGTAAATAACTCATGTTTGACAATTTGGTGACTTAACACCCTTTTCACGCGTACCAGTAAATTCTTATTTATATAGACTATTGATTTTTCTAAAAACGTTTTTAATTAAATGCTGATGATGGCAAATCAACAATCAGATTTTCAAAATAAGGTACACGGGTTCAATTATATTAATTATGTTCTATGAAAACGTATAATTTGGCTTTATATTAAATTTCGGTCGTATACGATTTCTCGTTCTTCTCCGTACAAGAAAAATCATATTACATCTACTATATTTAGTATAATAATAGACAACAGGAAACTTTGACAGATATATTATCGTATTATTATTATTTTTTTTTTTATAATATGTAAATGTTCATGTAGAAAAAAATCAAAAGCATGTTGTTTAGCTATGATATTCGTTAACGTAAAATATGCGTTGAAAACATTTCAGAGCATTAATTAAAGGAAAAGCCATGGAAATCCAAAGAATTTCTGAAAATTGAGTATCTAAATTATGAGAAAACTGATATAAATCGTTTGATATTATATAGTAGTATACAAAAATTCTCGAGTTTTAGGAAGGTTTCAAAGATAAATGTAATCATTCTAAAATCAAAATAACAAACAAAAAAAAAATCATACGATTTATTTATTTCATGTTAATTTGAATTAAAATTACTATTACTATAGCTATTTCGAGGGTCACGTTCAATTATATAAGATCCTATGCGTATTAAGTATAAGACATTTTAACGAAATTTATGGGGAGGGGAGAAGAGGGAAATTGATAAACTAAAAAATATTCATTGACTTAAAAATAAATTTAAAAGTAGTCCTGGTGTACCCACGATTATTTATCGGGTGAAATTATCACTAGAGAAAATTTACCTCCCGTTAAAATTTCTCTTATTATTTTTGTTAAATGATTTTCATTATCCGTTATTCCGTTAAATATATATATTATTATCATATGGAGTGGGCTTTACTTTGTTTATAATATTATCGATTGTTAATTTACTACAGATAGACGCATAATTTCATTTTGCATAGTTTTACTGATATACGTTACGAAAAACAGATTCTGAGCGGAATTCAGTTGACAGTGTTGCTTTGTCAACTATTCATTATTACATTATTTATTTAATTTAACTTATTTTTCATTATATTATTTGTATACAGCCTACAAGTTTCATCGAGGTGTCAAAAGGTTCTAAAAATATTTATAGTAAGGTTTAATTTGAGAGGTCACTAAGTAAATTTAACAGTTATTAAAAAAATACCATCGTAAAATTTTGCCTCTCCGGCAAACTATCTTTAGTGAAATTCCACTAGCGAATATCCCTACCCCCAACAGTAAAATTTCACTTGAGATTATTTTCCCCCAGTAAAATTTCACCAAAGAAAGTTTGCCGGTGGAGGGGTTAAAATTTACGGGGGTAAATATTCTCGGTTACACCGGTATTAATTGATTATTTGAATGCCAAATATATAGACATTTTAAGTTCAATATTGTATAAAGTAAACTGCATATGAGTAATATTTTTATGAGAATTCTGATATGTTAGGCATTTGCTTTTTTTTCTATTAGCAGTATAAAGATGTTATACTTTTTTAGCTAGAAATTTGTTTCATACACGATGGAATTAATAGATGAAATATTTATTTCAGTTTAGAGCAATTTGTCTTTTGACTTTTTGGGTTTGTTTTTTTAATTTTAAAATGCTCAATCATTTTAGGTGTTTTATTTTTATTTATATTCGATATTAAATTTTTTTAAAAAAAATGTGTAGTTTTTTAATATTTTAAAAATCTAAAACATCTAAACACTATACAGGCATTTCAGATGACAGATAAATTTTCCATGAAATTACTTGTTTAAATTTATTCACGTATTCTTAAATGTGTTACTCTTAAAAATCCATTTTATTTGATTTTACATAATTTAAAAAATAGTAACCTCCAGTATAGAGACAGAATATAGTTTCTAAAACAGTTTCACATATACTCTCATTCAATTTATCGTATATAAGTTTGTGAACTGTGTACCTTTTTATAATTTTAATGTAGGATAGAATAAAAGGTATTCAATTCCATGAATACAGTTTACGTATAATATAATATTGCTTGAAAAAATAATTATTGATCATAAAATATCCGTCTATTATTTTTTTTTCACAAGATGATCCAAATTTTATGTTACAGTTAAATTTCCATGAATTACAAATTTTTTCAAAAATTGATTTATGTAAAAACTTTTTGGAATCATTTTTGGGGATGATGTCACTATTCACTTTTGATTTTCAAACTTATATTGAAAAACTTTTTAGTCCCTACTCCCCTCCCTGAAAATTAAAAATAGAATACCTCGTCAAAAATTTGACGAAAATTAAAAAATGTAACACCAAAATATGTTTAAACTAAAACTTCACCTATTCGTGGAACTTTTAATATAGATTGCTATTTGAAAAAATATAATGGGCAGTGGTTTCATCCTCAAAGTTGAAAAACATAAGGATTTTGTAATATTTTAAAATAATTCCATTTTTTAAATTTATTGCAAAAATTTCATGGACAATTTGGCTATATAATAACATTTAGAATGATCTGATTATATACTTGTGTATAATCAACCGTTTTGATGAATACGAATTGAAATAGATATACACGACTGACTAAGTAGGTGTGTTTTGCGTACGTAAGTATCTACGTGACAAAGATAATTTTATATTCGACTATACACATATATGGTAATAAGTTACTGAAGGTATAGGTTGGTGTATGTGTAGATAGGTGAATACGACATTTTTTTTTTATAAATAGGTCATAAAGTAAATCCTTAATACGCTTTACGCGCAATGTAATACCTAACATTATATTGCGAATAAACGTCCGAACAACGTATACGAGTACCTATACGTATTGTCAAAAATAAATAAAATATATTATCATCTCCTCAGGGGAATATTCTATACAAATTCAATTTCATACGAACGAAAAACAATTTTTTTTTATAATAGAATTTTTTTATAGGCTAATCTATTCGTTATATTTTATATAGTATTATAATTCACAATCGAAAGGAAATAAAAAACACCACTGAGCAGCAAAATTCCATCACTAGAATCAAAATACCCTCCAATCAATTTGCTGCTGTTATAATATTTTATTTTTTTATCGGATACCTCTGTAATCTGTGTAGGGTTATTAATTAGGTGATTAAATTATTATTAATATAATTAGGGGTTTAAAAAACGTTGTTAAAATAATTCGGCTAATCATTATAGAGTTATACATTTTCGTTATTTAGATATACTATTTTATTTTTGAAAACCTATACTCAAATAAAATTTTAAGTTTGACGCATTTCAAATATTTGAAAACAATTGATAATAAATTTATGGTACAACTTAAAAGAAAAAGACTGTTATTACATTTATAGATTTCATATACGAGTATATAGCTATCCACTCGTTTGATACTTCATAAGTAGTAGCATTTTTAGGATTTTTTATGGGAGGGTATACAGATTTGAAAAGACATATATTGTACATGTATTATGTTCATATTAATAGAATACAAAGTATAATTTTCTTAAGGACAATGAAAGAATGTTGAGTATTTCATCAGGTGTGACAATTATATTTATGTGTACTAATATCGATTCTAAAGACAAATTTAGAAATTTTATAAACAACAGTAAGTGTAAAGTTTGTTTAAAAATTCGCTCCACCAGTAAAGTTCCTTAAATACGTTTTCATTCGTCTGAGTTTTGAAAACGTTCTCTTGGGGAGTCGCTGTCAAAATTGTTAATGAACATACAATTTTCAATAATTTATTAATGTTAGGAAAATATGTTGAACTACTCCGAAAGAATGCCTTATAACTACTTTTTGGAACAACATTGAGCCTGGTGAGTTTAACTTTTTACAACTTTAATTGTGTTGTTAAATTATTAGAATTTATTAAAGGCGTACAAAACTTTAATAAATTGTGGAAATATTCTAGTTTTTCTTTTAATACTGAGGAATATTAATTAAAATAAACATTCAAAACCTGCAAACTTAATGAACCATTGGTTGGAGGATATGACCTCCATATCCCCCTCCCTCCATAGAAAAAAATAATGGCCTCATTTGGCTATGTTCCATCCAGGTCTTTATTACCTTTGAATAAAACTGAAAGGTATAAACTGTACATTTAAAACTATACCTACATAACGTTATAATTTATTTTAGATTCTTTTGAATTACACCTATTACCTATTAGCTAATTTAAAATATTATATTCATTATAATGTTGTTATAGGTATTAAAATTGAAATAAAATTTGAAATTTAATATTTTTATCTAAAATTTATCTAAAGGGAAGTGTTTATTTGTCTGTGCGTGATCCATAGTCAAATTTATCATACGCAAAGGTCTGAAAATTTAAATACGGAATACAGGATGAATGGGATCGTGTGTAACTCGCAACTTTTTTTTCGAAATTCTACCCCTAAAATGCGACTCAAATCTCTAGTGACCATACATTTTTATTAATGTAGTTTACAAAATTTGTAGACAATTTTAGAAAAAATAGTTATTTTGTCGAAGTTTACAGACAGCAGATTTAAATGCAAAAATGCAGATGCGATATTCATAAATTATTATGATATTATACTGATTAGTTTTGGACATGGTTGAGAATATATTATCCCCCATAAAACCCTAACCATAAATAAATATCCCACACCACCTTTCCAAAAAGTCAACTTCTCAAAGTAGTGATATCTTAATTGTGGCCAAATCTGCTCATCCATTAGTCCGTAATCTAACTTCACTTCTACTTTAATGAGAAATATTGCAATTTACTTTTTATTGCTTAACCCTTAGTCCGTTTCTGAATGAGACATAAAACAGACTTTAAAATAATGTAGATAATATGATTATTTTGATAAATTGACTGATTAAAGATCCGGAGTTATTTTATTTTTTATCATACACCTTATTCTTAAGGGAGTACACACGATTCTGATGTTTTCATGCATCATTCAAAAACTAGGCAAATGTTAACCAATAAAAAGAAGTGTTTCTAATGTTAGTCTGAGTAAAGTGATGTTTCGGACTATAGAAATACAATGTATAAAAAGAATACAATGTATTATTTTTATAAACTGAATTTTTTAGGAGGGGATCTGGGACTTGGGCGTTTTTTATCATTTGAATCATTATATTTTTGTTGAGGATATCATTCCTGTTTTCTAACATCAACATAGCGAGTGTGATCTTGGTTTTTTACAAGGCACTGGAGGGATTATGCATTTTTATTCATGTTTAAGATTTTCTTTTCATATTATTAAATTAATTTTAAATCATAGCTATTTTTGGTTTTTTATTAATAGTTAGTAAAATAATGTTATGAATGTTATCCTTATTATTAATATTAGAAAAATCACATTTTATTTATAATCATTTTATTCACCTAACTAGGAACTGGTTTCAAAACTAATCAACTATATGGATTCAGTTAATACATAAATGTACGTTTGTATGTATATTTGTGTAGATTTTGTAAAAATTTAAAAATATGTCTCTACCTACTCCTGCCTACATTTCTTAAAGTGGCACTGATTTTAAAATTGTTTTTCTCTTCACGTATAACCTTTAATAACTTTTGTGCCAAATTTAAAGTTTCTTGAAACTTTGAAATCTCCCTTTTTGGAAATAGTTTAATATTCCATGCAGCTTAATTTATGAATCAAATTTCAAAAGCCCGTTTTAAGTGGAAGCAGATAAACGAAAGTGAAAAAAACAAGAGGAATTAGTTCGTGTAAAGATCATTACTGGCATGATTGTTGGAATTTTATCTAACGCATTTAGTTGTGTAATCAATACCGTAGAGTTTATAACCTCATCAATCGATTGCATCAAAATCGCATGACGATTAAAATGATCACTTTTATAACAATTATTTAGATGTTTTCGGTGAGCTATGATATAACGACGTATCTTATAATATTAAGAAAGTACATCCTTTAGGTAAGTAATCGAATTTTCCAATGAATCCAATAATAATCGTAAATACTATTAATGGTATTTCTTGATACGGCTACAGGACGTTTCTGTGAGCTTTTTTTATTTTTAGTTTTTATTTCTATTTCACCGAAAATCGCGTTTCGTTACATCATTAATAATAATAATAATAATAAATAAAAACCGATATACAATATATTTTTTACCTAACGTTTTCGTGCCGACTCATATATATCTTTTTGAATTGACTGTCCAATCTCTCACCCAAATCCTGGCGCATTTTGACGGCTACGTGTTCCGGTAACACAGATAGTAAAAGTCGTTCCTGCAAAAAAAAAATAAAAATATGTATATTTTTTTAAATTAACCGTCATAAACCAATATCTTGTAGGTACTTATACAGATATACTAATATAAGGAGACACGAACGCGCCACACGAAAAGATAATTAATATAGTTTTTTTTTTTTTTTGTTCATTTTATTCGTTATATTTGTAACTATTTTACCGTAAATACAAAAATACAGTGTTTAGACAAAAACCTAAAATAATACCACGGGTCGACCTCAGCGACCGCTTATTTCGAAATGTGAAACGATAGAAATGAAAATAATATATTTTAATATGTATTAACATTTCGACTGGACAATAAAAATAACGGTACTTATTTTTTCTTTTTTGTATGTTATTTAATAAAGATATATTCTTCATGTGGAGAATCGCCTTTTGTATACAGTTACAATAAAAATATTTATTATTTTTGCGCGCAATACTACTTTTCTCAGAATCGTTTTTTTTTATTTAATTTGCAATATGATTTATCGTTGCGTATAGTATGTAAACTAAATTATCCCGTATATCCTATCTGGGATATATATGGATCTGTTTGGTAGGTACTACCTAAAAAAAGCAGCGGCTTACCCGTGAACACGTATCAACATTTTTTTTTACTAGTGATTCTAGTGATACTAGTGATTCTGCACGGTTTTTCCCATCAGTATTAATCAAATTAATCTTTTACTAATTGTCTAAATTATGTTGTACGCAAATTATTTTATAGAAATCATAAAAATTTTTTTGCAGTCGAAACAATATTTAAAAGCCACGCATCGTGTTATATATAGACGTTTGTAATTGTAAGTTAATTAAGGTGATATCTTAGCATAAATGGCACAGAAACAAAACCAGAAAAATTACTTTTTTCAGTTTAAGAATAACGCGTGTTTTTAATTTCAAAACTTATCATTATTATTATTATTATTTTTTTTTTACAAAGTTTTGTATTCAGTTTAAATATGTTGATTTTTAGAATGTAGTAAACAGTTTTATATTTGAAAGGCAAAATAACAATAGCATTGAAATAAAACAGAAAAATCATCTGTATTAATATATTAAAATTTATATTACAGTGTCCCACGAAATAATAAAGATATAATCAAATTCTAACTTTTTTTTTTTTTTTTATATTACTTACAGGGATAAGGACTTCAAAATATATATATTATGTTTCAATTAATTTTTTATGTTTCGGTAAAAATCTTAAAAAATAACTTTTTATTTTATTTTTTTTGAAATATTTTAAGATAAAGCCATTTTATAGGGTCTGTTCATTATTTTTAATAATTTTTTAAAGTTCAAAAAAAAAAAAAGTGTACAATGCAGTCAATTAGCCATAATAATAATTATCAATCAGCTATAGGTATTAGCATCGGTTGAATTTGACGTATACAGTAGTATAATATTATACGTAACTGTTGATTGATATAGATTATTTTTTAGTAAGACTATTATAAAACCAATGCGGTATTAATGTATTATATGACGGATATTAGTAAACAATAACTAAACTATAATAATTAGTAAGCATACTTACAGTAACTAATTATAGTAATGAAAATAGCGACTAACGACAAATAATGACAGCAGGGACGTTTATGACGGGTATTATACTCAATTTCAGCTACTTATCAGATAGGGATAAACTATTATAATCATTGTTATCATTATTATTATTATTTTATAGGTTTTTCCGAATAGAGGTCATCGTTTTTTTTCGCTTTTACATTTGTATTATGTTTTTTAGATAATACTGTAATAATAATATTATTATCAAAATTAAAATCGTGTACGGTTCGATTACACGATGATCTGTAATTGCTGTAGAAAATAATAAAAAAATTACTAATTATTCGTTTGAGAACGCTGTTATTTGTATATTTAACAAACGTATTACAGTAACATTAACAACAAATGTATTCATTGTAACTATACATCAAGCTGGTCTGTTAAAGAAGAAAAAAAAAACGCGACGAAAATATAACGATATACGAATTATAAGTATTGACGAAATTAATTGGTTTTCGTGCATTCTGTGTATTTCACGCCCAAATATTTAAGAGGTTCCCTATATAGCTGCAGGTAATTTTAACGAAATTTTCCGCGATAGAAAAAAAAAAAAAAACTTTCAGAGTAATTTAAAACGTATACGAAAATAAAATATCCACTCCGAACGAAATTGTAATTAAAAAAAAAAGTAATAAAAATTCTGTTTTACCAACGCCCAGGATCTTGAGTTTCCTTTTTTTGGGAGTTTAATATACAATATGCAACTTTTGATTGCCATTTCGGTTTTACCGAAATGCGCGTAAATAAGCGGTTTAATAACAACAATATTATACTATAGTGTTAGGGACAACTTTATCGTCATGATCATCGTTTTGTTGAAAAATAAAACGATCGAGAATAATTTTGTTTAGATTCTGAGTGTTACGAGGAATGTACTGTTCTTACTATAATGCATGTTTTTATTATTTTATTTCTGTCTAAACAACTTTTCTTCCAGACATGTTGCTCTGGCTTTCAACTTAAAGTGTAATTATCTAGTAGAAAACATTTTTCTAATTATGACTTTGAGGAGGTAGTTTTTAAATTTTTCTTTTAGTTTTTCTAATAATTGAAAAAAATGATATTATTAACTGTTGTTTTATCTTTAAGCTAATGTGTTGAATATGCTTACTATATCTTCTTGTATTTTTGTCACTATGTAGTGAATGTTTTATAGAATAAAATGTATCAAAACTATTCGTGGTATTTATCAACAACGGTTGAAAAGAAGTATGTACGGATATAAGGGACTGTACTTGATTACTTGCCAAATTGGGGTACGTTTTACTTATGTAGTAGAGTATATGTATACAATTTTTATAAAACCTATTTAAATTGTATACATTTGAATGATATTTTAATTTGTCGAGCATTTAGTTTTCTTTATTATTGTACCATTGTTCAAGGGCGCCCATAAGGAGGATGCGGGGAGGACAACTCTTCCTTTAGCTTTTCAGCGAGTTAAAATAATTATATCCAAATTCAATATCTAAAAAAACTCAAAATTCATTATTCGTTCCAAGGTGTATATCAATACACCTTGATTGGTACCTATAGTCGGTAGGTATACTTCGTGATAATAGAATTCCGCTAATTTATTATCACAATATACAACGATTTGTGTCTTATGATTTGAAGTTGGTACCAACCACTATACTGCCGATCATTTTTGTATATGTATTTTTTTTTGTGAGCAGCTGACTTGTGGTTATCTTATATGTGAGAATCGTTTATCCGGATTGTGCATGTTAAGTTTACGTATTAAAAAAGTCGAAAAACTTAATTTAGCAGACAAAGTTGTTGATGAATTTGGGAAAAATAAAATAAAATTGCAATTCGTGTTCAATTAGTGTAACATTTAATTTTATATTATAATATAATACCTTTAACGATTTTTGAAAATACTCCTATGTACTCCAAATACATTAATAAAAGTGTTTGATTATTAATGAAAACTAAGGGTGTCCCCCCTGAGTTTTCACCTTCAAGCGCCATTGTGTTCATTTTAATTGCATGCCTACAAGTAAACGGTATTATTATTTATGTGAATCGAATGGTACACTCGGGGCGTAAATGTTATTTAAACGTGTCTTTAATTTAATGAGACAACTGAACGTTTAAAACGTGTTAATAACCAGATCCCGTATAGAGTACCCGCGTTACGGATCAAATTTCAAACCAAAATTGCACAATTTTCGAGTGAATTAGCTGGCTTTATATGCATATTAGCTTCCATACGTTCTGCCATTCAAAAGGACTATTACGCGGTACGAATAAATGATATTTTGGTTTTTGAACTCTGTATATTGTAAAATTAAACGCACGCAGGGCCTTTAAGATAAATAACCAAAAGCAGGATGATGATATAATATACGAACATATAGGGTTTCGAATGTTTACTGTATAATAATACACATTCATCGTACTTACCTGTTTACGGTTTTTCGTTAATTCTCGGAAATACGAAAAATTGGCTGTGCCTTACGCCGCGTACTTACCTACGTCTCATGTGTACGTATAGCGGTGTCGGTTGAAATTATTGGACGGCAAAGCTCTGGTTTCGCGTAAGTATATATCATATAAAATAACTATAACCCTAATACGACGTTAGCCGAGGTCGCATGCATCGCGCGCACGTGCGTACATGTTAATATTATTTGTTCGTCAATTTCCCAGGAAACAGTTGTAAGCATTTTAATGAACACGCTGTACGTCACGTCAATATTCTTGGGCAGGAAAAAAAACCGTCCTCGAGACATTATATTATAATTTATCCGAGCTTTTGATTTCCGAATAAATTAACCGACTTTGCGTTTCGAGGCGGTTTTTGTTTTGTACATTATGATAATATTATCGCGGCGATTCGCGCTACAGAGAGTTCACAGGGTAGCTACTGCACCTGCTACCCCGAAACTTTAGGCGGCCGGAGATGGTGGTCTAAATAATGATACTTGTACATTAGTAGAGCACGGATATTGTAGTAGTATAAAACTATTGAAATTGATTGCAGTATTGCACTAAAAAATACTGAAAATTCCATTAAAAATATTAAAAAATTGTATTAAAAACGAACAATTTTTTTATCAAAATGGAAATGGTTGGTTTAATTTTCGGTATATTTACAAAACAATAACAGACCACGATCACTCAAAATTCACGGAGTGACTGAATAACAGAATATAACAGTCAAACAGCCACATTTCACAAATTAGTTTTGTATTGTATTGAATACCGACTTGGAATTATTAAAATAAAAATATGATATCATTATTAGAATTTATTGCTAGAAATATTATAGTATAATCTTATCTATACGGTTGTCGAGTGTCGACTAAAATAGTTGTGGGAATGAGTAAATTCAACAAAATTGCAAAACATTGCATTTAAAACTTCTAGACTTGAATTCGTACTTACATGAAACGTATTTAAAATGTACTTAGCAATAAATTGGAAAGGTAGAAAAAGTTGCAAATGAAAAAAAATCTGTGCCCTATACATTAGGTTAGGTTAGGTTAGATTTGTAGCTAGTTCACCGCGTTTTAAACCATAAAGAAATCAATTATACGAACTATAAACTATTGAATTATATATATATAAAGCACTGTACACCGTATAGCATAGTGGTTTTTAAACTTTATTTTTTCCTTCGCCCATTTTGTATATTGTCATGGAACTATTAATCGTATATTGATCGTAAATATTGTGCTATTAAATATTTCAATAGGCACTTACATTTACTTTAAAATGATAAGAGAGTAAAATAATTCTACATTTATGATGTTATCCTGTGGCGATACCAATATTAGTTTCTCAAATATACTCCTTGAATGTTGTGAAAAATCTAAGTGGTCGAAAATAAGGGCTTCAACAACAATTAAAAATTCCAAAAATCAGAATTTTGATACATGCAAAATGTAACCACAAAAATAGGATGAGTGCATTTAGTGAATCACCCTGTATATATAATGTTTTGTATCATATTTTCGTTTACAATATAGTAATTTGGATATAGTTAAAACACGCGAAAACGAATAGATAGGCGTGCAAAAAAAGCCGGGGAAACAGATTATGGCTAATTGTGGTGACAGAAAAGAAAATGATTCAGAAGGAGACCAAGGAAACGCCGGCCAGATGGAATACAAGACGCAAAAAGGCTGGCAGTAAAGGACTGGAATAAAACGACCAAAAACAAAATTTGAGGCCACTGACGGTGGTTATTAAAACGCTAATAGAGTTATGAGACCATATTTATGATGTTTATGATGATGATAAATGGTTTTACAAAAACTATCGAAAGACTACACGGAGAAATGTCAAATAGTTTGATCAAGTTTTATAAAAGGATTTTCAAGTCCCTTGTGGACTTGAATCTATAGTATCGTGAATTATTTAGAAAACCGTAGTGTTGAATTTTCAACATGTCAAACCCTCGTTTTCTCGAAATCCAACTGCAATGTTGTCCTTAGTTTTAATGATAATAGTAATTGTAGTAAAGAATGTGAATTGCGTGCAATAAAGTTGTAAAAAAAAAATACTACTTGAACATCGATCGGATTGCCTTTATAAATTATATTAAATTATATGTAAATTTAAAGATAGAATATTCACTTATAAATTAAAACGGGTCAAGTAATTTTTTTTTTTATTCGATATAAATTTATCTATTTTGCGCTTTCTAACAGATCATAAATAAATAACCGAGAACGGTTTGTTAACTCAATCCGTATTTGCATTTTTTTTTTTTTAGCAGCAGATCGTTACAAAATGTTTTTCTATATTTACTCTATACGGTAAATATTTAAGTCTAAACTCCTTCAAAAAAATCCGAAGCAGAGATGATTTTCGACTTCCAACATAATATATATATGTACATTATTCTTTATTAGGTTGACCTTTTTCGTCGTCCGTAAATATCCGGTTATTTTAACAGTATTTTCAAATTGCATTATAGATAAAATGCGAAATAATAATATTATGCTTGATTTAAATTTAAATAGGTAGAGCCTTCTTAAATAATATCGTCATCCGGTATAATAAACATTTTATTTTATTTAAAAAAAAAAAAAAAGAAATCTGATACCAGATGGACTGATCACTTTTATAGGCGGGAAATCAGAAAAGTAGGATACATAAGGTTTTTATATCTGTACGTAACGATAAACCGTTGCTAATGAAAACAATTCTGAGCAAAATTCGTTTATAAATGTTTTGAAATACCGTAATTTAAGATTTTCGTCAAAATGTGATCATTTAAAACATATGTATTGAAAAAACCTAAACTAACATTCAGTTTACCATTTAATACAACCAGTTATGGCGAACCTTATATAAAATGTTCAAACATTTTTGTTCGGTTAGCAGTTTTATTCACACAATAAATTCTAAATGAAAACTAAAAAAACTCGAAAATGTGAAAAGCTTATTAATAACTCAAAAATCGCAATAATGTATTTAAACCAGGTTTTCCTACGTCTATAAAAAACTAATATTATAAGTTTTATGTCAAAATGTCGAGTTTCTACGTTTAATTTTCCATATTTTTCCTATTTATTACATTTTATTAAGAAAACGACATTTCGATGCACTAACTAGAAAATATTTTACTATAGAAAACATACTACTCGTATTGGGTTAGTTAATTTCGTTGAACTTCAACTCGAAAATTAGAATTGTTTTATAGGTGAATTGAAATGTTAAAATTTTGGTTAATTTTCAATATAAAATTTACTATATTGTTGCTGGAAAACGTTATTTTTTTATTTTTTTTTTTTTTTGGTATTGAACACACTTACAGACCTGTCAAACGAAGCCAAGGGGATTTAATTTCGTATTTGCATAGTATTACTACCAAGGATATGCGGTTTAGGGTATTCGGCTTTTCATTTTTATGATTAAATTTCACCATTTTTTTTTTTTTTTCGCAAGTAGTATAATTATTATTATAGTGTTGTATTATATACTATAAAATAGGTATTACCACAGTCTTCGGTTATTTATTGTTTCGCAAAGGATACATTTTGTATAATAGCGACCGTCGAACTGCGCTGGGGATTACTGGTGTTTTTTTGTTTTTATTTCAAAATATTCGGCAGTAATAATTTCCTCCGTTCGTACGATAAATCAGTCTTTGAAAAAGTTTGCGAAACAATATAAGTACGAATAATTCTGTATGAACGAGTATCCGTACATATTTTTTTTTCAAATAACTTGATACTACGTGATTATTTTTGTATTAAATACAATGGATGGCGAGCGAAAGTAATAGTTTTCGCTATAACGAACACCGAAAGTCTGCGATTTTATACTGTCTAAATACATGTCTAAATGTATTTTGTAGGTAACGGTGTATTTTTTTTAGATTTTATTTACGCGTAAAATAATATTGTTCCACTGGGCGGAATGCGCTTCCGGAGTTTCCGCAAATGGGATGCGTCTATTGTCTGTGTATATATATGTATGGGAAACGAAAGTTCACTCTCATTAATTAATCGAGACGTAACACGGTTGTTTTTTTTTTTTTTTAACAAAGCAACCGAAACGTTATTCCGCATATAAACGATGAAATAAACCTCGCTCGGAACATTGCGTTTTATTATTTTTTTTTTCTTTTTCGAAAACCACCGCGATTTAAAATATTTATAACAATTTATACAACGTGTCCATACCAGAGGATACTTTAGAAAAAAAAAAAAATCTTCAAATAAACGCTCGAGTACGGGAAGTTTACGTGCATACATATTTAAAAAGTCGGTATTACGCGTTATATTGGTTGGGCGGGCAATCGTCTCTCGGATCATCGAATCTCCTACGCGTTGTTTCATGCCCGGGATTTATCCTTTTTTTTTTCCTTTTTCCTTCCTTTTTTTATTTTTAGATTCTGAGCGCAGCAAGGATTTTATTGGTTTCACTATGATGTGTGTGTGTGTGTTTTTTCATTTTGTGTCTGTGAACAACTTGTCTACTGGTAATCTTCCTCCGATCTTCAAGTGTAACGTCTTTTCCGACATAATATTGTGCGTATAGTTGATGTAGGAGGATAGTTTTTGATTTTCTTTATAGTTTTATTAATTATCGGAGAGAACCACCAAAAAACATTTCAATTAGAAAATAAAAGAGGTTCATCATATAAATAATTGTATTTTAGGTCGTGTTTTTTTTTTTTTTTTTTACACATTAAATTTCAAAAAGTAATATAAAATCTTTGGCACACTCGAAAAAAAAAAATAACCTCAACAATTTATTAATTTATGCATATAAAGCGATACATTTGGTATAATACCTATCCATGTATACAATTATTTTCCGGTATTTTTAGTTTCATAAAACATATTTGAAAACCAAAATTAAAACTACTCGTATATTGAACTTTTTTCAATTATTGAACACATAATATACAGTCTGGCTTTTTTCGAATTGTTTATATATGTACAATGACAATAACTGTACACCACCATCTGGTGCTGGTATCGAAATAAGGACGTTCTCAAGCATATACGACTGTGGATACAAACATGCCTCAGAAACAAAAAAAATACGGTCCCGTCAAAAACTTATCGGACATCGCAAAGCTTTCAGAAAAAAAAAAAAAAACAACTTATCCAAAGATCTGTAGCACATAAAAATAGAAACATATTGCTTGTTCAATAGAATATAATAAATCGTGACTATATATATACGTATATAGATATCGATGGTATTTTTTTAAAGGGAACATACCACTAAAACATTTTTTTTTTTTCAGAAAGCAAAATGACTATTTCGCAAAGAAACAGCAAAACAGTGTTTAATGATATTTATCATGGAAAACAATAAAACCACTCGTACACATAACACGTTGAACCTACACATGCGTATACATGCGCATTGAATGCGGTATACGGACTTTTGACAAATCGGTGTTGATTTAATTATATTTCGTAAGGGCGCTTGGATATATTTCATTCGACATTGCCGATTTAATTGCCTGTATTTAAATACGCTATTCTACCGGCGTACGCTCCTAATTTTTCTGCTTTTTTTTTTTCCGATACCGTAAACGTATTTTTCAATTCCTACTGGTACACACGCCCTTTAAACAAACACCATCGATACAATTCATTGTTTCGTTTTCAATAAATATACTTGCTTGCGGGATAAAAAAAAAAAATTGTTATTACATAATATTGTGTGCTCGTATTCAATATTACGGTGAACCGTCATGTACGTATGTATCATATCCGGAGGAAGTTAAGCTCGCCCCGAACCGTCCGACGCGCACAATATTCCTGGCGCGGCCTTCCCTGCGCGAACTACGAACCGCGTCCGGCTTACGTGGGATTCTTTTTGATCGACGAATCGCTTACGCTTCGATTGCGATCGGGATAATATTTCGTTGCGGCACGATTGTCGTTTAATTATAACATTTCTCGGTACGGAACAATACGACAAGTTCGTCCTGGGCTTTACGCAATAATTATGTTTTATCGGTATATTTTTTTTTTTTTTTTTACCTACATATAATGCAATAACGCGTAACGACATAATAAATAACGTTGATAAATTATGTCGTATTTATTATTTTTTTTTTTTCCAATAAAATTCGAGATTTAGACCGTCGAACCGATAAAAAACTAATAAACGGAACGATTTAAATTAGGAAAAAAAAAACAATAATAACAATAATAGTACGCCTTCGTAGAGACAATTTAAACAATAATAATAACGTGCCCTAAAAACCGAAAAATAAATTTAAATTCAATTTGACGCAGAAAAAAAATATTCTGCATAAAGTACATTACAATTATAATATATTCAATAACAGTTACAAAACACGAATAATCTGATTTTGGAACTGAATAATATTCATAGCGGGGCCGTATACGGGTTTGTTTTTTTTTTCGTTTTTAAATATAGCCCTTCCTTTCACATGGTTTCTTCGAATTTTGTTTATGATATTTAAATTTCAATAATAAAATAAAAAACAAAAACCAAATTATATAATATTACCGTACAATATTCCGAGAACGTGTTCTTTTAAAACGTCATTGTAACAAAAAATAATAGGATTCCGTACAGAGGAGCAAAAAAAAAAAAATATACATAATAATATATACACACATAGTAATATAATGGCCAGAAGAAAAACCACCGTACAAAATACTCCCCGACGATTTTTTTTTTTTTTTTTTTTTTTTATGAATTTTTTTATCAATGCGGGGTTTTCCGCGATTTCAGTTGGCATATGAAATTCGTTACACGGCGTTTCGGGTTCGGTACACAACTAACGGGTGGATCATCTGCACGGTAGATTGCCCGCGACTGAACGAAAAACGCATGCAAGCTCGAATTGATTTACGATTTCCGCCGAGATACCCGCAAAGAAAAATACATACATACTCTGTGTATGTCTGTTGTCGAATTTTCCACGGATATACGAGACTATTACAGTGTATTATCGTGCGCGTTATATATTTTATTTGCGTATCTTTCTCTCGCTACTTTTGTTCACTTTTAGCCAAACCATGATTACGGTCTCATAGTGTCTGAGTGCGGCTGCAGTATATACATTTGGGGCTGCACACAATGTCTTCAGAATCAATCTCGTGACATTTCATTTGCAGTAAAGACGTAAAGTGCGCGAGAAATATCATAACTCAACTAAAATATACTATGAGAAACAAACCTAAAAATAATCGTTTAGCTTATTTTTCAAGGGCCGAATAAACTTGAAAAATTTTATTTTTTCTCGGCCATTACATGTTATACAGCTAAAAAACGAATCCACTACAGGAAAAACTGTTTGTGACTCAACGAAGGAAATATTATAGGGTGTCCATATTTTTGCCGTTGTTGGATAACCTTATAGTAAATCTAGAAACCAGATTCGAGCAAAATAATATTGTTCTGTATAGTCAATTGAAAGTTTATCGCTTAAGTATGCTTAAAAATGTAATAAATCAAAAAATATTTTATGAACAACCAGTTTCTGAAAAAATTGTGATATTTGAATATTTTCTGTGGTGTGAACAATGAAATAATAAAGGAATAAATCGTTGGAAATAATGAATATTTTAGATAAATGTGATACCGAATTTTACTCTAATATAAACTTTCCTTTAGAAATGTTGGTCACATAAACAATGTAGAAAATAGAAGTTAGACATTCGTTTTCAACATTAAAACTAATTTAATTTTCACCACGCAACAAGACTGGAAATTAACGTTTGACTGGGCGCGCTTTGTTATAAATTCATTGGGAAATGTCCACTTTTCCACATGATGTATTAGACCTAATAGCAAAAACAAACAGAAAAATGTTACTTTAATCAAATACTGTGGTACAATAATAATACTCAAATAATACTTTAAAATGTTTTTTTAAGAATAATTGAAAGTTTTCAACTCTTGCCCCTTATGCTCAAATTTCGCCCCCCCTTTTTTTTTTTTTTTTCTTTTGGAAATATCCAGGAATAATAGTTTTAGCATGGTATGCAGTATATAACGTACTGCAATAATGAATTATACTATTAAAATAATTGGCTATTTATAAAAAAATATTTTTACAGTACCAACTTGGTGAGGGAAAATTCGACTTACGGAGCTCTGTTACTCGCTGGTGTTTTTATTTTCTTTGATATTATAAGTGAACAATAAAATAGGAACTTAACTTGGAAATCGATATTTTATTAGTTACTTTATTTAGGTAGTGATATGAAAATAAATCGAAATTCGATATGTCGAACCGAGCGGACAAAATTATATATATATTCAAATCCAAATTTGTTGTCATACAGTAAAAGAAATCGGTACGTCGCGAAAGTCTGCGGTCTGGTAATAAAAACGGATATGATTGAAATATAAAGCCGGAGCGCTGTTGCAGCCCCATAGGTAGTTCTGTAGTAGTGTTGCAGTAAATATTGTTTTTTATGGAAATAATTTTGGAAGTTATGCGACGAACCGTCGTATTCGAATAACGAACACAATTTATTATAATACGTTATTCTAATCCTCCTGTAGTTGCTTAGCCTCATTGGACCATCACATTCCACACCCTAATCCTCCATCTTTTTCCATCCGTTAATTTTTTATTCTCAGTTCAAACCGTTTAATTTCGCGTCCGTTTTCAGTACTTACAATCTTTCCATTTCTCGTTCTTGATCTTTCTCGCGGTCGTTTTCCACACGGATTTTTCCCGACCGACGCATTCAGAATTACAACTCATTCTGATTCCTACAAACCACCCCACCCATTGACTCTTCACCCCAACATTACATCTACTATACATATATTTCCGGTCGGAGAAAATAAAGGCTTAAGTCGATGTTAAATGGCATAATATCGTTAAATTGATGTATTATAAACATGACTTTTTCGCCAAACAAAAAGTACATCGTGGTGACATAAGACATTTCATTTTTCAGCAAAACATGTGTTAGAAGTAAGAATATATATACCTACACACTTACGTCATTTAGACCATAGCCAATAAAAGAACAAAATTACGTAACATAAAATCATATATATTTATTATATATATAAAAAAAAAGCCAACAATTGCTTAAGTCCTTCTACCCCGAGACCAAATACGTCTTATAATTGAATAGAATGTACACTTCCTTATTTTATATACTCCATCATTATTTTCATCCTTGGTTGCGTCAAACATTTTCTGCAAGATTTTTCTTTTTAGTATTAAGGACGTATTGTCTGGTCTAATTTTCTCGGTGGCCATGTATTCGCTCCGTACAGGATTATTTGATGGAATAAAAGCAACTTATTATTATGATCTTTCAATATTCTCTTGATAATAATTATTGTGATCTCGATATTTTTGCTAGACCATATTATAATAACACTTATTACATGCTTGTATTCTAGCCGCTAATACTTGACTCTATATTACATAATTCCATAATGCTATAATAACCGCTTGCATTCTATTTTTTTTTTTTTTTTTTTTTTTTTTTTTTATATGTTCATTTTTCTATTAAAATTTACAAAAAGTATACGAGTAGTTCATTAGAAGTATTCACTTCCATTAAATTGATACTCATTTGATTCGGTAACATTTTAGCATTATTGTTTTTTTTTTTTTTTTTAATGTTTATACAGAATTTGGTATGTTTTTTACGTTTCGAACTATCGCAATTTATTGTTCTTTTAAAAAAAATCGTAAATTCGATAGATTCGTTTTAATTACATTGACCTGTTTGCCAGTACACACGTTTCGGTGATTAATAATAATAATAATAATAATAATAATAATAATAAAAATAATAATAACAACGAATAGGAGATATGGAATAGCGTGCGATTAATCACACATTTTTAATTCTAAATGACAATACACACACACACACCCATTTTGAAAGCATCCTCAAAACAATGACCTATTAACGAGTATTTTACGTGTATATATAACTGACGAGTACTCGGCATTTGAATTTACGGAATTAATGTTATAACAATAATATAATGTTGTATTTTACATTAACGCACTGTATCTTTTAGATTCGAAGCGTAACGAAGAATTTATTGGTTTTATAACGATGTTTTTTTTTCCTGTGAGCAGATTTTCTACCTAAAATCTTGCCCCGATGTACTAAGTGCAGGAACTTGTCTTGAAATTAAATTTTATCTTCTCAGTACTTTAAAAAAGTTGATTTTTTTGTTTTCAAGCGGTTTTCATAATAATTGTAATAAATTGAAAAAAAAAAAAACGCAGGGAAAACGGAAAAATGTACGTATACGTATAAAAGGAACTTCGCTCCGAATCGTTAGTCATTACTAACGGTAAACACAACCATTGTTTAACGTTGTGTACAGATGTAAATTAAATTGCCCTCTTTACCCTACCTTCCCAACTTCTTACCTACAACAGTGACCCACCTATCGTGCTACCGTGCGAAGTATGTCCGTATAATTAACATTTTTTTTTTTTGTCTGGAGATTTATTTTTTTCTGAGAGGTTAATCAACTGTTACATTTCCATATTTTTTACCTACCACAAAAGAACGGAAAGTGTTTAAAATTAAATTGTACTTTTGCGGATCTTGTAGAATTTTATCTACAGGTATATAAAAAGAAATACAAAAAAAAAAATCAGAAATCTCCGGGTGCATGATTAAATAATGTTATTTTGGTATGACAAATATTATAATACAAAACAATGTTCGATGTACAAAAATTAAAACCAAGTAGACTTCGGAAAAAAAAGTATTACGTATTATATCTATACAAGGTATTTCTTTATAATAAATCAATGACGGTTATATCCCAGTTTTGAGGGAGGATGGAGAATTTAAAATTTACGGGGGTTACGGGATTCTACCCATCTTATACCCATTGTTAAAAATGTAATATAATATAAATTTTATGTAATATAATCTGCAGTATTGAAAAATGCAAATTTCAGTGGTTATAAATGTTTTAATTGAAAAAATTGTCGATTACCCCTCCCAGCACGCTCCTGCTCAAATTCGCTCATATTTAATTTGCTAATGCATAAGTATTTCATATTTAAAATATTTATTTAGATAACAATGTGTAGCGATGTAATACCCAATTTTGTTTACCTAACCCGTACGTAGAAGCGTGAAAAAAATAACATCAAAAACTAAAAATAACCTATACCGCGCGATTCGCTGCGAAATCCTACCCTAAAACGACAGGTCACGTTTTTTTTTCGGTGTCGGATGGTCGTTCCGGATCGGGTTCCGGACCAGTGATTATGGCGTGACATTTTAATTTGGACGGGCATTTTATCGGGAAGTTTAAAATATAACGGGACCCAACGATGCGACCCGTCTCATTTTAGGGCAGAATCTTGTAACAAGTTATTGTTCAGTGACGTGCAATAATAGTTTATTATCGACGTGTAACCGTGAGATATATCCGAAATATTGAAGATTGAAAACCAAAACGAAAATGTTCGATACGCCCAGCATATGACGGGACGTGTACCAGTTACCCTTAAAAATACATTTTTTTTTTTGTAAATTTGTACCTACAAAACTGCCTCTCCAAACTACTTAGAGCAAGAAGAAGAAAAAATCCCGAACCCGAATAGGTATTACAACTTTTGTTGTATTTAACATAACAGGTTATTTATAAGTATATAAAAACGCGGGCGAAAAAAGTTCGAGTGAATCTCACTGTCGTGTGTAGAATACAGGGGTAGGTATCCATAACAATGGTAAAAATGCCGTTTAATATTATGACGCGTGTAAACGATGTGACGTGCATCCTACACTGCGATAAAATATATATTATAATAATAACAATTCGAACTAATGCAACGGGATATTTTGTCAGATTCTTCGAAAGAAAAAAATGATAAAATATTATTTTATGAAAATCGTAATATTTTACGATTTTCATAATCGATCACGATTTTTTTTTTTATTTAGGTCGAGATATTTGTTTATTTTTTCTCGGTGGACTCATCCCGTGGTTTACAACTGAGCATAATATAATAATAGTACGTGTGACGCCCGGACCGGGACCGGAGGTTTGAAGTAAAAAGCCCGCAATGTCGGATGGCAATCTTATTTATTTTTTTTTTTATTGCAAAAATGGTCTTGCGTTGCAACGGCGACGGTGACTTGTCCTAGTACGATATTTACTGTCGTTATATGTGTCGGCATTTACAATATTTCTAATCTAATAAAATGCTAAACGGTTTTTAAGTTTTTATATTGTTTTACGCCTATTTTTTTGTGCTTAACACGAAGCACTATTGTATTAGTCGTTTGTATGTTTAATTCGAGGGTAACTGGTGCATTTTGTTTAACGCCTAAAACAGCCGCGGTAGGCAACAACCCGTACAATATCGCTAACCGGTGACTCGTGCTCATAAAACAAAAAAAACAAAAAACCACCGCCGCGACCTACTGGTTTTTTTTTTTTTTTTAAATAATATACCAATTTTACGGCGTAACTTTATAGGTTTTTGTTATTGTTGTTACGATTAGTAATATTTTTTTTTTACGCGGTATCCTCGCCACGGTACGCAATTAAAAACAAACTTTATCTGTGTGTAGTTTAGGCAAGTACTAAATATCGTATTCAACGGACAATATAATATTTATACACGCACATAGACACCGAAACGATACTATATTTAGGTAGGCGATATTTATTTTAACGACCGTTGCAAATTAAAAAAAAAAAAAATGTCATACTAACCAATACTGGTCTATTCCGTCGGGAGTATCATTTTTGTTTGTTTGTTTAACGCTATATTTTTTATACCATTCGCCGCAGAATAAATATACTAAAACAATGTTTCCTCGCTAGACATAAATACATATATATATTTACCGCCATCGTACAATAGTAATATGACGATTTTAAGCCGCACGAACGGTACTCGGTCCGGTTCGCGTACCAATAATATCTCTATATTTTCTTTTGGCAACCCCGAATTTAATACGCTCTTTTAAGTTTCGACGCGTGTGCCGGCAAAGTTAATAATAGAGAAAAGCGTAGGTCGCACGCATTAATATTATCCAGACGTTCCGAAGAAAAAAAAAAAAAAATGAAAAAAAAATACGTTAGCCGGGTCATTATGATTATTAAAACCGACATTTTATTTTTTCATTTTCGTTTTCATTTTTGCACCCCGAGTGTACCGAATAACCTATTAATTTTACTTTAGTAAGATGCGGTTTTCCAGGACCCCGGAAAAAATGTTTTGGCTCTTTCACACTTTAAAGGAAATTTTCGCCTGCAGATGGTACTTTATTCGAAATGTTTTTCGAAACTACCGATAGTTTTTCCAATAACTCGAGCTTTATGTTATTATTCTTAGAACTCATTTCGTGAATGGATAAAATGATACAATTTTTTCATTCAGTGTTTTAAAAGATGCGGAATTTTCGGGTTGTGGTATTATACTTGAAATGTTTTATTGTAACATTCAACAATTCAGTCCTTTATGGGTTCTTGTGGTGATTTTTTCTCAGAAAATGCCGAGTTTTTATTAAGTGAAAATGTTTCAAAATATTCATATCGTACATAAAAATATGAGAATTTCTCGGCATGTGAAATTTTATTTAAAAATAATTTCTAGATTCTCAAAAGCTTTAAAATAAAATTTAAAAGACTGACAACAATCGTCTACGCATCGGTTTTATTTTCGTAGATACCTTGGTTACCTTGGCGTACGCGGGAAAAAATCACGACTGATGCTATTACGTTATGAGAATAGTTTTTTGATTTCAATGGTTTATCATCACTTTCGGTATACAAATTAAACTATCCTATATACCTGTCAAACATCCTACCTACTACATCTGCAGTGGTATACCATTCGGCTTTTTGTTATATGTTTTTATTATTGGTCAAATTAACATCACTTGCATTTAGTGTATACCTATATCTGGATGGTTATTATGGGCGTGTTTTATTAAAATCCATTTAAGGCGTTCGTCTTGAACCGATCGTTCGATTGGAAACAAGACGATAGCTGATAGCAGCGTTTTTCAAAAATAAACTAAAATCGAGTACGCACCTACTATAAAAAAAAATACGACGACCTCGAATGCAATTTTCCGCGTCCTATAATATTTTATTACAACGTCCAGATAAATGTCACGCGGAATTAGCTCACGGATTTAAGTACCTGTACAGTATAATGTGATATAATTACACGGAGCGAATTATTAATGTGACATTTGTAAAAAAAAAAAAAAAAAAACACATAGTCACTACAATAATAATTATGACAAAAAAAATAAAATCGAAAATAACGAAACGGTTGTTGCTGTTTTCCTGCGACTTTTCCCGATTTTCCTTAGTTATTAAGAAAATTACAAGGGAAATAAAAAATTGACCACCGTTTAAATACAATTTTCTTTCAGAAAATATGTTATACTTGAAAATCAAAGCATAATTTCTGATTGAAAATGTAATAAAATAAGGTAATAATAAAGGCTAATGGGCGGACAAATAAAAATGTACCGCCGGGCAGAAATTTCACATATTTTTTGAAACACCGCACGTAAACAAGTCAGAATATTTGCTTCGTCGAAAAAAGTGTTTGAAAATAATCATAAAAAGCAATCCCAACTACTCAGAATCTCGAATATTACCCAGAACGCGTAATGGTAAACTATCGTTGTCTTTTAAACGACACTGGGTGTTGGGGTCGTGCGGTTTTGAGTTTCGCACGAACACGGCGTGAATAGGGCGCTGAAATATCGTCCGTTGGCTTTTTGTCAAAATTCGGCGGTCGCCGCCGTACGATATTGTCGCTAGTATATTAAATTAAATTTTATTAATACGGGCAAAGACATTGGCCTCGTCACAACAATATATATATACGGTCATATAGTTATCATGGCTCGCGTGCAATAAAATCCGTACTCTATATGATGGGATGCGGCTTATAACATATATACACATTCGTTTCTGGCTTCAGATTTATAGAACATAATGTATTAATAATAATAATAATAATGTGCGACTTACCTGTTCGGTCGATTGTTCTTCTATGACCATTTTCATCTCGAGACATTGTCGAGTTTCCAAAAAGGCGGTGCGCTGTTGCTTGTCCGCCAAGAAATACGACAATAATCCCAAACAATTGGACGCCAGCAGCAGGACGCCGTTCGTTACCAACTGGAAAAACAAAATAACAAAATATTATTATTATTATTATTATTTTTTTTTTTTAAATAGACTTTCACTTTAATAATAATAATAATAATAATAAAAAAAACACACACACAAATTGCGTGGTTATCGACATGGACAATAATTATATAATAATGTCGTACGAATCTTTTGTGATTAAAAGGTTCCGTATGTCCGTCTGTCTATCTATAACGTTTTTTCGCTTGTACTCAGAACGTAAATTCCGACGTTTAGGTTGAAATCGCGGTTTATATACGAATTAAAGATGAAGACATTTCGAAAAAAAGAAAACCGTCACACAATTTTGTTGTTTACGATTAAATATAATAATAATCATTTGCATCATTTGCACCCAGTTTTCTGGGTTTTCTACGTAAATAAGTACGATGTTACATTAATCTGCTAAACAATTACTCCGAAACAGTTTTTATCGAAATTCGAACAGATGAATTTTCAATTTGAATTCATCATAAAATACCTTGCGTTTTTTCATCTGCATATCGATAAATAATTTTTATCTATATTTGTTCAAAACCTAAATGTTTTTATCGTATTTTCATCAAAACTCCAACTGTTGGATGGTGACGTATTAAACTACATCAGAGTTACTCCAAGTCGGAGTGTTTAACCTAATATAACCACGTGAAATTTATTGAAATTTCAGAATGTGTTAGTTTTCAAAAGTCTAATTTGATCTATCTGATTGGCCAAGTGTATAAAAATAAACTAAAACAGTTATCACATATATAGCAATGTATCTATTATGTGATAGACAGGTACAGAGTTCAGTATGTGTTATGTAAATTTTGCTCAAAACAAATATTTATAGAGGGGGAGGGGGGTTAAAATTGAATCATATGTCCGTAGTATAGTGACAATATAGTCTGTAATAAAAAGATAGGCAAAGACAGGTACAAAAAAATTAGTCTTGGTATTTTTCAAAAACGATTAATGTGATAACAGGAATAGTATATTATTATGATCTGAAGGTGTCACCGTGTCACCATAGCACGGTTACGTCACTATCGATAGATCGATTCGGAGTTATTGCCTTTTGTAGTGGTTTTTAGGTTAAACTACCTTAGGTTACTTAGGTTACTTCGGAGTTGTATACGTTCGTAACAGTTCTATTCGGAAAAGTTTATTTTCGGACTAATATTACTCATATAATTTGAATATACACGTTCGATGTAGTATAATATGGTAGCAGCAGTCGGGCCCGGATTGACGGATAGGCGAGGTAGGCACGCATCTAGGGCTAGGCAATGCCAGGGGCTATTTTATGTCTCGTAGTACATAATAGCATTGCGAAATCGAGCGTATTAAGATGGGTTGAACAACATAACAGTTTTAAATTTTACATTTTGAATCGCTCGTAATTGTACAGCCAAAGTGTTGGTTACGATAGAGGCACGCGATTGTTGGACGGCTCAACAGTGGAAAATATGGGAATATTAACAAATACGTGCCCGGGACTATGATCGGGCTTAATCCGGTGCAGGGTTGGCGGTCGACTTTCGTAGCGATCGTGGCGGCCCGTTTTCGTAAGCCTACGCGTCATTGTTCCGACTTCGGTCAAACTTCATCGAATTTCGTGTGTGCGAAAAAAAAAAAAAATCGTCGCCATAAAGCCGAGCGTCTCGCCGGGACCGCCGCAGCACTGTCGTTCACCAGCCCTCAATGACCCGTCACGGACAACGGCGGGCCACACGGACCGTACAGTAACAATAATACGGCACGGAATGGCGTCGGACGGCGGCCGACGGAACGACGCGTTTCGTTGTATTATCTGTTAACGGTCGTATTATTGTATCGTTTGTCTCGTCGTTTTATTGTTCGGCTGTGCGTGCGTCAGAAACTTGTAAACTTGTTGTGTTACTCTGCCGATAAGCGAGCGCGAGGAAAAATAATAAAAAGCAAAACGACACGGATATGTTTAATCCCGTTTAATGGGTCCATTGTGTCCGTGAGCTTATAGAGCGTATACGCTATACACCCATATGTGTGTGTGTGTGTAAATAATATAACGTAACACGTATTATACCGGGTACCCCGTCGCTCTGTACACTCAATGTCCGACTTTTCCCCGGGGAGCGCTGTTGCAATAATTATTGTCGCCGTCTCGCGTGTTCGGCCGCGTGGTGGCCGGGTCGTCGGCTATCGCGACGTTTCACGGCGGATTACTCGCGAAACGTATAGAGGCACAGCGCGCGTACAGTGTAAGACAATGGGATATCGGCCATTGAATTATTATTTACTCCGGTACGGGGGCCCGGGGATTTATGGGGCTGTCAATCGCGATTTCGTATTTTGTGTCGCGAAAGCCGTAAAAATCCGCAAATCTGTCAACGTCAACCGTCGTCGTCGACGACGACGACAAAAGCCGCACGAAATTAAAACGAAATCGCGCGTGAAAACGTTTCGTACGTAAATATGATAGTTTTATCGCGGAATATCGTCATATGCGCGCAAATAAATGTCGCAAATTTATCGCGTGGTATCAAGCCTTTTTTTCCCTTATGCTGTCCGCACAAAGTTCAAACGATACGTACGGAACAATATAGTGTATTATTAAACTCGGTTTAGTAACTCGGATTCATTTTTTTTTTCACCCCTTTTCCTTTATAGGCCCGTTTTGTCGAAATTACCCCCGGAAATAGAGACTATTGCCACTGTGTCGTGTCTTTATATTATACTTTATCTTTTTCCCGGTGCATTCCGGGTACTTTTATAGCGCCTGCCTCTGGACCGAAACAGCTCAAACTTGAGAATCGATAGTTTATTTTTATGTAGGCGGAGTGGAGTGATACAATTTTCGTCAAATTTCAATTTAATGAACCTCGCCCACAGCACCCTTAAGGATCCGTCAAATAAAACCAGTAGATGGAATTTCGAATATGCAGGGCGCATGCGTATCAAGGATATTCCTTTTGTTCGTTTCAACTTTCAACTTCCACTCCGGCTATTTTTGTAATCAGATTTCATGTTTTCACAGAGAATAGCAGATTTTAAATATCACCTTTACAGATCCTTACATAGTAGTGAATAACTTGGTTAAAATATATTTATTTATAAATAGAACTGATGTCGATTTTAGAAGATTTGAAATTCCAACCTCCTAGTACACCGACCTATACCGTTTGTATGTTAGAAAAAATTTTGAGATTATTATCTATTTTGATAACACATTTTTTATTCAATTCCTTATAGTTGTATAAATATATATATATATAAAAAAAAAATTAAAATGAAATATTGTAACGGAAAGAACTCATCAAGGGAAAAATTTTACTTTAGTGACGGACCTCTTTGCTTTTGCTCTTTCAATGCTGCGCATGTTTATATGCGTGTATCTGTGTATATTTTTCTTTTTAATTCAATGCAATTTTAAATAATTTTCAGATTTTTTTTTTCGTTTGTACATTTTTTATATAAAATGATTATGTTTAACTACATATTGAATTTTTTTTTTTTTGAAAGGAGTCGATTGTAAGAGTTTTTAAAAAGATATTTAGTGTATACCAACTCCAATTTATACTGTTGTGGTATTGATTTATTTTTTCGAAAAGCTTACAAAAAAAATGTTTATTTAATGAAGTGGTTCTCAAGCTTTATCGATTCATATCACCTTTATCGACAATAATCCAACACTGAGTCGCCCTACCAATGCACGATCCACTGAATTCATAGAATATTCAAGGAGCGGTATCGTTGAAGAGTGAGTGGTGGGGAGGGAATATTACGTTTTTCGGATGGCGTTTATGGTTACATTAAAGCGACGGCAATAATACGATTTTATTCTAAAAAATTGAAAATTGTGTTTTTTTTCTCCGATGATTCCATGTCACCCCAGTTGAGAACCACTGATTTTAACGTCTTATACATTTTTATTAAAATGTATTAAATATAGTCATCTTTGCAATAAAAAAATAGAAATAAATAGATTATAATTTTCATAAGATTTCATAAATTATTATACTGACGTTGAAATATAATCGAGGCGAAATTAAAAAAAAAAAAAACATACTTTTAATGGGGTTTTTCTTCAGTCGTTAATAAATTGCGGTTGCCTAATTATAATGCACCTGTATAGCATTAAGATGTAATTTCCATTTTTTTTAACGATCAAAACCAATTTAAATTATTTTTTTTCGTGTGCCCTTCATAATTATTAAATATATTATAATACATTTTCCAAAAAAATAAAAACATAAAAGCGTAATAATATAGCCGTGGTAATAAACAGTTATAAAACAACGCATTATTGTTATTTAGATATGTTATAGGTACCTCGTAATTTTACCCAAATTTTTGTGATTAAAATATTGACGGTTAATAAAATTATATGTTAGAAAATATTTATCACGTATTTGTAAATTGTAATACTGTTTTGAGTCGACCTGTTATGATTTTACTTTTAGTCCAAAAATAACGTTAGGATCGCATATACGTGACCCCTCACGAATAATACCGGCCGACAGTTGACGTCCTTGCCCATACATACTATGGTTTCGTATCTCTCTCTTTGTAGTTATCAATCCGCAGATTGGTGTATATTTCACCTCTTGTGTCATCCGCCGTCCTTTTCATTAGTACATACACGCGAGACGCATCCTCAGTCCTTTATTATTATTTGTCGGTCGTATTCATATAATAGACGTGGTGGTATCCGTCTTTTGTTATTTTCCCTTCCGCACTCCGTTCAACAATCAGCTCTAACAATCCCATTGCACATGGCTTGCACAATCCCCCGTTTCGTATACTGTAGTATAATAATATGACGTGATCGATCCGCTCGTTTTCCTCTTCTAATTAAACTCTTCCACAGTAATAGTCTTATTTTTTCTGGCATTTTTTCCGGTATTAGACTCCAACACTCCGGGTATCGTATAATGTAACTTTATCTAATACAGATAGGAGAATCCGGTTTCAAAACGACTGGCAAACAGGAATTAACCCTATTAATGAATTTTCAACAAAAAAATCTATGTGACGCGTAATGTTTAATGTTGTTAAGTTATTTTTTTATTTTTTTATTTTTTTTTAATAAACGGCCCCGGGGTATGTGAATAATTTACGCGCAGAGATGAACTTCGGATAGTAATAATGTTACGCGTTATGTTTGAAGCACAAAGGGAGGTTAAAACGCACACAGGAAAAATGACTGTCTTCCGCATAGGATAAAACGAATAATAAAGTATGCCACGTGTGCAATCACAGCGAGTACGCGTCACCTGCAGTATCGGAGAGAATGGTTTTAATATACCGAGCGATTCCGGTATAATGCACGATCACAAAAACAATTTTGGCAGCGGAATTTACTGAGATTTCCGACCGCCCCGTGTACGACGAGAAAGAGTTGATATTATTATTTTAGGCGAATTTAATATTGTTAAATATGTCAACTATACAAACCGAGTCATAATATAATTATATGGTATACGCACGTCAGAATATTTACGTACATGAAAGAAAAAAAACAAAAAAAAAACACGGCAAACGTTCGAAAATTTATAAGACCGAATATTCGATGTGCGTAATTTAATAAACGATTTTTTCCTTAATGAAATATTTCGTTTTTTTTTGAAAAGCCAAAAGCCTAAAATCGACGATCTTATTCAACGATGCATAATATTATACTCGTACATAAAAGACCATTGGGTACTGGATCCGTTTGGGGGCGGAGGAATCTATTATTTTTAATTGTACTTTTTAAAAATTTAGACCTTTTTTCCAAAACTGTCGTTATGTGTACGAAAAAGCAATGAGGGGCATTTGTCCATTATATCCATCTTTGCTCCTCCCTTAATGGAATCCCATGTCTGCAATGAATGCGACTCATTGGCGTTATTATGAATTTAATTAACTTAATTAACGTTAATATAATTAATGAATGATTACGACGTGGGCGATCGTTTATAGATAATGACCACGAGGGGGGAGGCATGTTTAATTTTTGTATATTTTCGTTTGATACTCTGTATGGACGAATGAGTGGGGTATTAGCTAGTGATTATGATAAAACGTAGTCATTTTCACTGTGTCACTGCTTACTATTTTGGATCACAAAGCATATTTTGCAAAGGACGTTTGTCGACCACGAATAATTTTCAGACGCAGCCATGATCGATCTGGCCAAACGATATCAACCTTAGGCTGGCGGAAACACTATATTTTTCGAATAAAAACATGAAAAAACTCTCACGCTCGCAGAATAGTTAGATTTTGATTTATTGTTATTATTTATTTGAAAGAGAGGAAGACTGTAACTCCCATTAAATTCCGATTTTTAGAACTCAAATTTCCAGACACTGTTTGGTGAAATTCCAATTTGATCGATTTCGAAAAGTAGACTAGCAAAAAAATCATAACATGTGTAAGGTGATCATTGAAATGTCGGAAGTAGTATTCAAATTTTCCAGAGTTTAAAAAAATTTGGAAAACCGACTTTAACTAAATTAACTAAATTAAATTAATACCTACATAAGTAATATATGTTCTACATAATGAAAAACGGGATAAAAAAACTGCATTTTAAATCGACGTTCTGGATAATGGTGTCTCTACCGTCGTCTTTGTGCGAATACATATTAATATGAGAATGGTTTCCACCTTATTCAGCTGCAGTGACGTCTATGACTATTACGAGTATGTCGTCGCGGCCCACTCTATAATAAATTCAATTCCGTAAAATCGATTTTGAATATTGTGATTATTATTATTTGGTTGGTGAGTACCGCGAGCATATTCGAGTATATCATTTTTCAATGAAAGTTTATTGTAATTTTTTCAAAACCTTGAGCGTTAAGGCGTTTTTAGACGGTAGCTTATTCTTAAGAAAATAAGAGTTCAGAAAGTAGAACGCACAGAATTATTTAATTTATGTCTGTATACTGTATGCAACGATAAATTATAGTTTTGCGAAGTACGATTCTGAGCGAAGTTTGGTTGAAATCGTTTTGAAATTTCATGATTTTTACGATTTTCATCGAAATTAAAACACAAAAAAGCTTATGAAAATATGTAGTACCTAGTTTTTTACGCTCAAATTTATTTCATCATCAAGTATAATTTATGAAGAACCTCGTTTTAAATTTTCGATCATTCGAAGGTCTAAAAAAAACCACCATAGGTATTGCGTAGAAATTATAATAAAAAGGCAAGAATCGAAAATAATGGAACCGTTACTTCCTTAAACTTTTAATTATGCATAACATTTTTGCACGTTTCTTTCCCAGATTATGCACCAACTTTGATACAATTTCCATGCTCGAGAATATTAAATCGACTAATAATAAATTAATAACGTCAATTTTTTCACCTCTATGTTCTCGACAATCCATCGTAAATCAACAAAAAACAATTCCATTTTCGTTCCCAAAATACCGATTGACCTGTATGAGCCACCGTTTAGGGGTTGAGTTTCGGAAATCCGACTTCGACGTTTTTCGGCGTTTTTATGAATAACAAATTTACTATAAAATATATATTTACTTTTGTAATAAATATGTTTTAAAACGTTATGGATAGACGATTTTATCCAACTAGTTTAAACAACACAACGTACTATAATTAATGTACTAAAATTTAACCTAAATTGTTTCTTATTGGCATACTACGTAGATAATCTGGTAGTACGTATAATGTATTATTAGGTATACCATATTTATCATACAATTTTGTAATGCGTATTTAAGTAAATTAACAAATAAATTATAATATTACTTAAAAGTTATAGATAAATAAACGTTAAGAAAAAAACTAAAAACATTTTTAAAAAAACTACGAATTTGGGGGGAGGGGCAATACCTCTTTCACTACCCTTGAAGAAGCGAACGAAACCAGCACGTTCTTTTATGAATACGTAGATGTGTACAGCTATAAAACTATGACTCGTTTTACAGAGCATAAAACATATATAATAATATATTTCTATATGACGTTTACATTATTTATCGTTTATTTGTTCTTTTGTTTTTTACATCCTCAGTCGACATTCTAGCCTATTCACTTTGATTGCGTTCATAATTCAACGTAAGTTCCATTTGGAGAAAATACTGACAGAATATTTTATTTTGGTCAACGGTTTTCGCGTTCTTGCATAACTACTTTAACGGCGATTCGAATCATTATTCTGGTATTTTTATTTGCACATCTTACAAAATTGTAGTTAATTATTTTAGCAATGTGTGGGTAAAATAATTATTATTAATTTTGTTGATTTAAATTCTCGCCCGAATCATTATACATTCAAACAAACAAATCTGAATCGGCTTATTACTGCTCCGTGAATAAACTAACAGCCGTGAAAAAAAAAAAAAAAAAAAAAAAAAAAAA